ATCATAGATGGATGCAGGTATAATTGTTTTAAGAAAAAAATTTTCGTACTAGAATTTTACAAGGAGATCTCCAAATATTATGGAAAATATGTTCGTTGTGTAAATTAATGAAAATTTTATCCTAAGCTGTATAATTTTGTCACAAAAACAGGCCAAAATACCTATTTCAAATGGACATTTTCACTTTTTTAATTGCAAGTAAACTTACGATTTGTATTGTTACGCTACGATTTGTATTGTTCCGACCAGTGGAACACTACGATTTTTGGTGTACCACTGCCGGAACACTACCAGCCTTATTCTGGATGTCAATTCCACGTGAATTTACTCGCTCTCCCCCTTCGTCTTATTCTGAACAAGATTTTTGTGTGAATTTTTTCGCATTCTTACTTTCGCCTTATTCTGAATGAAGTTCGAAAGCGAAAAAATCCGCTTTGGGGAAAAATTAGGTATTCTGGATTACAGGGAGTAGGAAATTTTGTGCGAAATTTTGTCGCTAATAAACTTAAGGGGAGTTGACTACAAAGACATAAGTAATTACTATTTTTATGAAAAATATTTACACAATACTTATTGTATGACGATTTAGAATATTATAAATGATAGTAAGCACACTTTTAACTGGAAAACAACCAATAAAATGCCATTGGAAATCCTATTGATAACGATGCCTGCTGAACCACGTATTGCCAAGGAATATATGAAGGTAATAAGGAATATTTAAGTCGAGTTTGATGCAGTTTGGAGGCGAAATACAGACATTTTGGGTGAGGGTCTGTCTCTCAAGAAAAAAATTTTAAAAATTATGGAAAAACCAAATTTGCCTGATGAGCCGCTAACAGTGAAAAACTTAAATAAAAATTATGAAAGAACCAAAAATATTTTTTTTAAATTATCGTAATCATAACATAACAGGCCACTTTAAGAATCTGGGGAAATATATATCGAAATTAAATAAAAAGGCACACAATTATGTAGTGAAATAATAAACTGAATTAATTAATTCAATCGCAGATTTCTTTCCATTATTCGTTGTGTTTTGTCATTATAAAAACTGTTCTTTTATTTATAATCTTGTTGTAGTTGTTGCACAAAATTGCATCAAAACAATGAACAGCTGTTTCACATGCCATATTGTAGGTTGCCATATTTTTAAACTTTAATTTATTTTCTTTTAATTACAAAGCTATTATACAGCGGATTATTGATATTTCACATTTGTATTGTTATAAAGTTTAAATAACAATAAAAAGTAAACATTTTTAATAAAAAATCAATAAATAAAATATTGAGAAATATTACACAATTAAATTACAATGGGGCAACACATATTGCAACTTAAATTACAATATGGCAACACACGTTACAACTTAAATTACAATATGGCAACACAAATCTTTTTTTCAACCACCATTTTCGAAAACTCGAATCGGCATCTCGCATTTTTTGCGTCTCCCTATGCATTCAGAATAAGGCGAGAATGTGAAAGCGAAATTTTTTTTGCATGCGAGATATCTCCCAACGAATATTCAGAATAAGGCTGTACGTGTTTTTAGTGTTCCGGCAAGTGGAACACTAAGATTTTTAGTGTTCCGATAAGCGGAACACTAACATTTTTAGTGTTCCGTCCAGAGGAACACAACGATTTTTAATGTACCGCAGTCGGTACACTACGATTTTTAGTGTACCGCTGTCGTTACACTACGATTTTTTAGTGTACCGCTGTCGGTACACTACGATTTTTTAGTGTACCGCAGCAGGTACGCTAAGATTTTCGTTGTGCTCCGGAACAGTAACGCTAAAAATATTTTTAGTGTTTGTGTACCGGTACAGTACGTTATTTTAGTGTACCTATCCACCTTGGTACGGTACAGAACACTATAGAACGGTACCATAATGTTTATTTTCGAACGCTGCTAAATCGTTATAGAATTAGTATTGTGTATATATATTTTTCATAAAAATATTTATTACTTATTTTTTTGTAGTCAGCTCCCTTTGAATTTATTAACGAAAAAATTCGCACAAATTTTCATCTCATTCTCCTATTCCCTGTAATCCAGAATACCTAACTTTTCCCCAAAACGGATTTTTTTCGCTTTCGAACTTCATTCAGAATAAGGCGAAAGCGAGAATGCGAAAAAAATCACAGGAACATGTTGTTCAGAATAAGTCGAAGGGGAAGAGCGAGTAAATTAACGTGGAACTGACATCAAGAATAAGGCTGCTCATCTCACATTTTTTGCGTCTCCCTATTCATTCAGAATAAGGCGAGAATGCGAAAGCGAAAAATTTTTTACATGAGAGATATCTCCCAGCGAATATCCAGAATAAGGCTGTATATTTTTAGTTAGCGAAAAACTTCGCACAAAACGTCATCACAACACAATTTTTCTCCATACCAATTCACTTTCGAATTTCGTTGAGAATTAGGCGAAAGCCAAAATATTTACTACAAGGTGTTGTTCAAAATAAAATGAATCCAGATAGGCGGAGTATACATGTAGTACCGGCTGCTTTGTTACAAATTCTGTGCTTACCTTTCGTAAATATTTCTAATGAGCTTGCCGGGGATCTACAGAGCCTTGACATTCAGATTATAAAATTTAACTTAAAAATAACATATGTACTGTTGAAGTCCAGAATAAGGCTTATTGTCTTCGAAATTTTCTTTATTCGATGAGATTTGCTCGGAGGCATTCAAAATGTACTTATTTGTTATTTGTAACTGGGAGACTTATCACGTGGTCCCTGAAAACAACAAATTATTTAACAAAATAAGCAAACCAGTTTTTTAAATGTGCATTTACAATTTAATTATTAACTCATATTTTAATTTAATATACAGAATTTTTGTAATATGTAAAAAAGATCATCATTATTAAACATTTAATGTGTAGTTGGTTTTGTTGCATATTTTTTATATATATATATATATATATATATATTTTTTTTTTTGTAACGTACATATCTCTTCAATATGGTTTAGTACATACATTTGTTATTCTGCAATTAGCTTTAGGTAATTCTCTATCATGAATCCTATCACCTTATATAAACAATTTTGGAGATGTGTAGATTTTATAGTTTCAAAATTGATATATTCTGTATAATTTGAATCCTTTCAACAGTCATTTCTAAACAAATAAATACAATAGCTTGTTTAACCAGACCTTTTATGAATAGATTTCAGAGTGAGCTTCTTATATTCTAAGATTTTGAAGTACATAATAAAAATATGATTACATAATATTTTTGCGAGTTTGATCAATCAATATAATAATTTTACTATTTATACATGCCCATGTTGACACCATTGGGGAGATTAATGTGGGTTTGATTGTTTGACTGAGTGTATATAAATAGTACATACTTCTCGTAGCTCTCTAAGATATACAATATATGGAAAAGACACGGTAGTATACAAATACGCAGGCTAATTTCGTATAAGTGTTGTGATGAAACGCCGTTAGCGAATACCTGCTCATAGGACTACAAGTATTTTTATATTGCCTTTAATTACGGAAATATCAATTTGCACAATATATACCTTCAAACAACCTGCTCAAATAACTTATATACACCCGACATACGTATGCACAAATGAAAATGTAGTTTGAAATATGTTTTGTTTATAGACACATAAAATATCAATAATTGATTACACATTCAAACTTTTTACGTTGGAAATATCGTTGGGATTCACTTTTATAGTTTTATTTATTCAGTACATTTGCTTTCTTACAATGTTTCTTTCTTTTTAATGAGGTCCCAAAAGGTTTTAGGAAAGCAAAAATATGTCGCTGCGACATTCAATCTTAAAACCTAAATTATTGTTAAACAAAATAAACATAACAAAAATAATGATTTCAATTCATATTACATTTATGCTGTTGACGGTAAGTCAGTAGCAAAGCGCAATTTTAGCTCACTCTCTCTCTCTATCTGCGTTTTCTTCAGCGCAATGTTAGCTCACTCTCTTCGTTCTTTTCGGCGCAATTTAGCTCACTCTGTCTGTTGTTCTCGGTATCGAAATGAAAAGTACAACAACACCATGTTTGTTTTCTTTCAAATAATAATTCGTGAGACTTTTATATACTTTCTTTATTTGATCTTTACCTTAAATAAATATAATTAATATTTGCTGCTAACAACAAATGACATTGGGAGTTTCTGTAGTAATAAATAGGAGGTATGTGTAATCAAAATTTTTGAATTAATTAGCTGTTTGCTCCAATAAATGCTATTCCACCGTTTCAAACCAAAGTCACGATTTGTATTTCTAAAATCAACGCAGAAACTATCAAATCATAGTGCTCCCCTACTGTTTTCTTAGTTTATATAAAAATATTGTTGTAGACGTATATATCATCATTGTATTTATCATTCTTTGTTTGTTTGCTCGCTTGTTTGTTACTTTTCAATTTGTGTGGTATTTGTAAGCGCCTTTTATTATAATTATTTCCGTAATATTTTCTCATTTAGTAGTTCTACAATTTTTATATATATATTCTCAGTTATACTATATCTCTTCTCTTTTCTTTAAAAAATTCTTGGAAAATTTCATTCAATATATAAATTTTGTTTCTTATTATCCTCTCTTTTTGTTATTATTTTTTTCTTTAGTTTCTAAAACTATTCTTTTAACATATTTAAAAGGTTTTTGTTTTGTGTTGTATGTTACCGTATGTATGATTCAAATGTGTGCCGCCTTGCTTAACCCATATGATTGTTTAAAAATTTATATTCAAGTTGTAACATGTTACTAGGTTGGCCTTTTTTACATATAAAGTAGTAATGTTAAAAAGTTAGTTTATCCTTTCTGATGTTAATTGGTATCTTTTAATTTACATATAAATTCTTAAGTTCTTTTGTTTATATTCGTAGATGGGAGAAGGACGTCAGCAGTTTAAAAATACCTTTGATTGGATAAAGTATTTTTCGTATGTATGGGTTTGTTATTAAAAACGAATTCCTTTATGATATTTTCTTTATGTAGCGTGGGATCTCTTCGAAGGATCAATCAAGGATTATTGACCTGAAATTTACGGAACGCATTACAGTTTAATAATGAACTTTACCAAGAACTCTGCAAGAACTAACCTGCGCCGACTGCAGCCATTTGGGGTTGATTTTTAGTATCTGCTAATGCTGACGACACCGCTTTCGATGAAGACGCTGTATTGGTGTTGGCAATGGATGATGAGCTCGGTGTCGATGGCTGTTGTGCTTGGTTTTTCAAGTTAGCTGCTGCATCGTTAGTCCCACCTGCAGGATTATTTGTATTGCTATTGGGAGCATTAATGTTGCCATTCGCATTATTGCCATCTCGGTTATGCATCTTGTTGCGATTATTGCTGCGATTGCGGTAGTTATTGTTGCCGCGGTATCCACGATTATAACCGCCGCCACCACCACCACCACCGTTGTAGTTGCCAGCATTACGGCTGTAATAACTATTACCACGACCTCGATATCTGGAATTACAATCAATCAGAAATTTATTTCATTTTTATATTGTGCAGAAACAAAAAAAACCTACCCTCCACGCCTTGTAGATGAAACACCAAAGGTCTCACTATTCAGTTTGCGTTCCTGACGCCAATCATAATTTTTATTCTTAGCACGATCTTGGGCCGTTTCACAAGAAATGTTATCAAAAAATGATTTAGTCTTATCATAGCCCACAGTGATCTCTTCTTCCTCGGGCTCGTGATCACCAGCGCCCGTCTCATTGCCAGAATCATCTTTTTTATCAGTTTCACCGTTCATCTGCGAAGTAGTAGGAGTAGGCGAAGAACACTTCAGAGTTATATTAGTGTCATTATTTTGCAAGTTTTGTTCATGGATTTATTAATTGCACAGCCCAGCCGATTTCACATTTATATTATAGCATTTTTTCATGTGAATGAGAAGTGCAGCATATATCGTGTTATTGAAACAAAAAAATGTGAAGCAAATATAATTTGTGTCGTTGTTGAGCAAGTAGCAGTGGTGTGGTTGAGTTTTTACATTGCGATATCAGCGTGTATTTTGGATATTCATCAAATCGCAATAAGGGATTTAAGGGATGGATAGATAATGATTTGTCACAGTTGTTGCCAATGTTTGTGTGTAAAGGAAGTACCGATGAATTTGGGTGTATAAAGGTTGTAGGTAGGTTGTGGACATGCGGGATTATAGTGGAAAAATAAATAAAATAAAAATGTTAATTTTTTAAATACAAACTTTTTGCAATTTCTCTAAATATGTACTATGTAAATTCAATTTCAATATGCCTACTCTGATATTGGCATTCAATGTACTTCCTGATAAGTCTAACGTTTATTTATAGATAGATGTCCCTATGTTTGAGTAGTTAAATCATACTGTTTTGCTTATTGAGAGAAACTAAAAAACACACTAATACTACGATTGTACAAAAACAGACTAGAGTAGGAGTCGAAAAATATTTTTAAAAGTTACAGCACCTAAACTGAAAAATAGCTACAATTCAGACGCTCTTCAAATATATTTATTGCATATTTCTTCAACTGTTTTATAAAAAATAATAACTCATTCATAGTCAGAGGAATTCATTCTTGAGAAAATTGTTTTCGAGCACTAAATTAGAAATGCATTTTAAGTTTGAGAAGCCCTCTTGCTATCACTTGATGCTAGCACAATAAATCGCTATATCTTCAAAAATTATTGAGATTTTCACTTGAAAATTTTATGGGGACATTCTTGAATTAGTGTAGGTTCGAACTAAATCAAAGTACAAAATAAAATTTTTTGAAACTGAGAAATTAAATATATATTAAATGGAGAATAATAGTAATACGCATTCATAGCTGAATACATGCTACAGAATCAATGTTTGGTGCGTATTTTATCGGTCAATATACATGTTGTTTTCGTTTATTACACCATTTTATTATTGTACGCCACGAATTGCGATATTACATTTTATGATTCGGGGTTTCAGTGGAATATGCTCATATGTAGGACTAAATGCCACATTCACTCTAATAAATGAAAATATATGCTATTTGAATTTCAAATATATGTATATTTAACTATGATGAACAAAACACTAAAGACTTGCAAACGAATGGAGGAAAATATTGGGGACGTCAACAAACAAATAAAATTTGAAAAATATACCTGCTCGGATTTGGGTTCATCGCCCACCTTTAGTTTCGACAATTGGGAGCGTAGCTCTTCGAATTTGTTGTTCGCTTGTTCGAAATCAAAGTCCTGCTCAAACTTAATTGGATTACGTGAAGGTTTTTGCATGCCACCAGGACCACTTGTTGATCTGAAGCCGACCTGGAGGAGAATGCAAAAAGAGATTAAGTTCTGCTTATGTCAACGTATATAATATCTCAACCTACCACTTGAGAACGCATGCCGCGATTGTTACGCATATTATTAGGCATGTTACCACGATGCATATTCCAATTGTTTCGGTTCTGATTGCCCTGGTTGTTGCCACGTTGATTGTACGAATTACGTCCGCCTCCATCGTGATTGTTATGATAGTTGTCCATCATACGACCCGAATCACGGCGATCACGGCCATTGTTACGTTGGTTATTACCACCGCCGCCTCCGTTACGTTGATTTTGATAATTTGGTCGCTTGTGTCCAGCATCACGCGACTGACCACCATGGCCAGCATTATTTTGATGTTGATTCGGATGATGATGACCTCCTCCTTGTTGTTGATTTTGATTATTGTGGTTGTGTTGTTGATGGGCCTGTTGTTGTTGGTTTACCTGTACGCCAATATCGGCCGAAGGACTCTTACGCGATATCAAGCTGATGGGTGTGGTCGACCGCGAAGCTCCAGCTAGCATGTCTATGACGGAAACTTCATTCAATTACAATTGAAGTTGGAGAAAAAACAGTACTCATTTTAACATTCGATTAAACGTGCATATATGTGTGAATTTTGTAGATGTGTGTATCAAAAAAATATTTTTCCAAATCAAAATACAAAATAAATTAGAAAGAAGAAACAAAGCTCAAACCAGAATCTAATCTCAGCTACGGCATTTAAGGAAATGAAAACGAAAACCTTGGACTAACAAAGAAACGCAAAAGCAACCCGAAGACTATTTAAAGAAAACTTTTCATAGTGACAACCACCACAAGACCAAGGATTGTACATGTCAAGATGGTTTAAAACAAACATTCCTAGCAAAATCAAATTGGTATTGAATTTACTACAAACAATAAAATACACTGAAATTTCTAAAGTAAAACAACAAATATTTAGGTTTTAATTTCAAGAAATTATGATCTTATGACTCTAAATAATGAAACAAAATCAAGCCCCTCCTAGGAAACAAAACCTGCTCGTTTGCTAAAATTGTAATAAACCAATATTAAACTACGGTATACAAAATTAAAAAATGAACCAAAAATGGAAGTGTATTTAAAAAATGAATATATGGTAATTTGTGTAGAAATTATATAATGGGAGAAAATTTAAAAGTGGGTTTACCCCTCGTCATCACACCTTGGTCTTTATGTTCATTTATAGCCGATGTATTTGGTATTTTCTTGCTTGCGGAAATAGAAGCAGCCGTAAGAGACGTTATAGCAGGAGTGGAAGTCGGGTTATTTCCAATAATTCCATTGCCACCACCGCCACTACCGCCACCTAAGCCTATGTTACTGAGAAGACCGCCACCTGAACTGAGACCAATGCCCAAAAGACCAACGTTGTTATTGTCGATGCCACAACTGATGCCTATTTTGTTGTGGGCATTTGTGTTATTAGCATTATTCGTATTACTGTTGTTCATATTGGAAGTTGATTGCGAGCCGACAGTATCAACTGTTGTTAACAATGAAGAGCTCAAAGGATTTGCATCCGCTGTGTTACTGCCTGTAGGAACGATAAGCAAACGATATGGATTATGTACTATAGACAAACTCTATGCCGAGTCTGCTGAGAGTGTTGAGACCTATATTCAAACGTATTTCGGGGAAAACACTATTTATCGGGGGAAACGCATCTAAATGTATCCCCCCTCTGGATATGAGTTTTTGTGAATGCGTTTTGACATAGTGTGTCACGACAGGTGCAGAAAAACGAACACTATCGGTATGGACTTACTTGGTTGCTTTTGCTGCTGTTGCACTTGCGATTGTTGTCCTTGCGGTAACTTCTGTTGTGGTGGCACTGATTGATTACCCATCATGAATGGCCCGGGGGCACCGGCTCCAGGTGCTAAAGATTGCGGAACAGCACCACTACCACTAGCACCTCCAATCGCACCCAAACCGCCCATTGAACCGAAAGGGTTCCCATATGCTCCGACAGCCCCCATCGGTGGCACTTGTGGATTCATACTTGGCATTGATAAATGTGGCATCACGTGTTGTCCATTTGGTAATTGTACTTGCATAATAGCCGGATCATTTGGATGAGGCAAGCTATTGTTTATCACTCGGATATCCTTGATGTCAGTTCCGCGAAATAGAATATAGTCGTAAATTTGACTTTGCGGTGCAATTTGGAATTGCGTTTCCCGATCCTCCGTGCCAAAGGAACGAACTACAAGAAATATACAATGATAAGATGAACGTATTAGTATTTGGGTATGTCATAATTTATTAAAAACTAAGTACAAGGAAAATAATATTGAAATTTGTTACTTAACATAAAATTTTAGTTTACGGTAATGTGTTTGTGGGAGGATTTTTTTGCGACACACTTCTGAAGATTTTAATATTGTTACGTTTTTAGATTGAACCCACATCCAAAATTTCACCACCTACCAATGGGGCCTCATAATTTTGAAAAACCCTAGTTTGGCACTATTTGGCGACTCATATCTATAGAACGGCTAAAGCTTTAAATATAAATTTATTGTGAAAAATGTCTCTGGCTACGTCGGTGAAATGTGGTACTGTCGTGGTAGAGGTGTTTGACGTGCATATATCACCGATTAAACTTCGTGTCACCCAGTTTGGTAAATGGCGTTAAATTGTCAAGAAGGAATTTATTTTGTTATCTGCTTTTGAATCATTTTCTAAATGGAGTAGTAAACACTAGATTGAAAGTGTGCCAATTTGACTCGTACCAGGAAATTTTAATGTCGCATAAACTATAAATTGATTAAATCGTCCAGAGTTCTTGGGAAGTGATCATGCTACGTGCAGTACAGCTGTTATTAAAGCCGTTTTGTCCCAAACTATGCATAACCTAATATTTTGACTAAAACTATATCATGTTCGAATGTAGGAATTATTGGTCTTAATAGCTCCCCTCAAAGGGCCCATATTTTGAAAATGTGTAATGTGTTGCTTTGCGCATAGTAATATCTTTGCTAAAATTTCTTCGAATCTAAAAATGGGATTTTCAGACCCACTTTTTTTATCAAATATAGATCATGTGCGAAAATGCAGTCACCGGTCCACTACATCTTTTGGTAACTCCCCAAAGGGTTTAAAACTTTAAAAATGGTAAATCTAGATCCAATCCGAAAATGGGTTCTATGGATCTGCTCCCCCAATTACCTCTACGTCCCTCAGTTACCTCTTCCACAAATTGTCAACATCTCGATCTTTGGTAATTCTTGCTTCTTAGTTTCATAGCACATGTGCTAATTGAATGCTTCCCAAGCCTGAAAAATCGGCATCTGTTTTATATAACTTCAAATAACGAAAAAATCCTATAACTAGATATGAAAAATATCTTGAATAATCTTCAATAACACTGCAACCTATCTCTGTATAAAATTTAATCGAGTTTTATTCAGTCATTTATTCATTTATTCAGTCAAAATTTGGTATTTGGTCAATGAGGTTTGTCAACACTAGCGATAATTCATGTTTCTTAAGAAAAAATATTAGGCATGTCAATTTCAAAAGACTTGTAATTATATTAAAATTATTTATTTTTACAAGGATCTTCTTCGCAATTGTAAAGAACATAGAGTAGAATACTTTAGAATTTAAAATCATTAAAAAATATTTGTAATTATGATATTTTTATCAATGAGGTTTGTCAACACTACGCCAATTTCAAAAGACTTGTAATTATATTAAAATTATTTATTTTGACCATAGGAACAAAAATTTTTAAGGTTTTCCTATAGTCGCATATGGTTGAATAATAAGCACTTTTTCGATAATTTTGGCTCAAAATTGGAAAACATGTTAAATAAGTGCTCTAAATAACGATTAATTTATAAAAAAAACAGTTGAGTGGTTTTACATAATGGAAGACATTGTTTAATCTTAAATTTATTAACCTCTGTATTGCCTTATTTAGCCATGCCGAGAATTGGATAACAGGTTCCCAAAGTCGGCACCATGTTTTATAATTGTAATATTTTAATAAAAAGTATTATTTGATATAACTTTTTTAATACAACACTGATAGAAACGTCCCGTAGTAATAATTTCTTATTGCAAATAGCAGAAAAATCGATTAAATATATAATTTTTGTTTAACTAAAATGCGACATGCCGACTATTGCAACATAACATGCCGACAATTGGAAAAAAGTGCAGACTATTGGCACAAAGGCATTACTTTACATAATTATTAATTTAATCTACTTTAATACAAATTAACTAAACAGATTTGTATTCCATCATGGAGTAAACAAAATTTCTAAACAAATGAACCTAAATACAATATCGTAGAAAAGATGCACTTGGAATGAAAACCTTTGAAACCTTTAAAAAGCGAAAATTCTTAAAGTGCCGACTATCGGTGCATTAACCCTATAAGGTTAGAAAACCTCAAAATTATACATTTTTGAGTTGTTGAATTTTATAAATACATTTTTGTAATTACGCGGCGACTTTTATTTATACTCTTATTTTGAAATTAGGACAAGAAATGACAAAATATTACATAAAATAAATGTGAAAAAATATTCAGCAACAAATGCCGTGGTTTGTTGGAATCATCGTCGAATCGCTTATAGTAAGTGGATAACCCCTATGATAACTATGGAAATCCCAAACTCACTGTAATGTCTGTCTGTTCATGGCATACATCATGGTATAATAATAGAAGGTAACAGCAAGTGTTGTTGTACAAAAACGATACAACAACCACATGGAAATTTGTTGTTGTAAGTTCTACTAGTGTCAACTCATTTGACAGAAAAATGTAAACAAACAAATTATTATCAAATTATTTTTATTTTTAAAATGAAATATTTTCGAATCCTCAAAATAAAAATTGAAAAACATGAATGAAAATCTATCAAATTTATATTTCTATCGCTTCCACATCTTTCCTATAATTGTGTAACACATATGAAAATACAGGGAATAGCGAGTTGTTCCCAGCAGGCAGATTGAGTAAGTTGAATACGGGAGCACATTTAATAAAGAACAATTACAAATTGTATGCGTTCCCAATTTTCCTGTTGGGTGATTTTTAAAAACATAATTTGTCAAATTCATATTGACACTAGTATTACGTTGGAATCAAATCAGCTGGGACTTGATGTTACCTTTTATAATTGTACCATGGGCATACATATTTAAATGTCATTATATTAAGTTGGGGAAAAATAAATTTCAGATTTATGCTCGTTGGAAAGGTGACATTTCGTAGAAAAAAAAATTATTTTGCTGTTTTTAGTTTGGTGCATTCAGTTGTGTGTTACAGGGAAAATTCGGTGCATTTTACATTTTTTCTATGACAAAGGCGAAAATGCAAACCAAGCGGCTAAAATTGTGAATGGAGTTTATGGTTTCGATACTGTAAAAGCCAATTATGTGCAATTTTGGTGTTGTAAATTCCGTTCAGAAATGTTTGATGTTAAAGATGCACCTCGCACAGACGAATCCGCCATACAGTCCAGACGTGGCACCATTATCATCCCTTTTTTTCATTTCAAAATTTATTTAATGATAAAAAATTGGTGTCTAGGGAGGATTGTGAAAATCGGCTACTAGAGTTTTTGGAAAAAATATAGAACAGGACTTCAATGAGAGAGACATTATGAAGTTACCTTTAAAATGACAACAAAACGACAGAGGGATCTACGATCCGAAACAACCCGAGTTATACTCGGCCAACGTCGGTCACCTCAGCTCATTGTGTAAAAACAATAGGGCAAAACGGTGCATATTCAAATCGGACATTCCTATAGTTGATATAAAAATAATGGGTTTCTTTTTCCCCAACCTAATATATAGATTTATCCATCATCAAATACATAAGAGCTTTAGAAAATATACATTTTTATTTTTTTAAAAAATACGCCAATAGATATGCAATTTTGGAATTTATTTTCCTTCTTTTAAAAATTGATAGATGGCTATTACAAATTAAAAAAGGTTGTCATTAATATTATTATTAAATGAGAGTACCTTCCAAAATTATGCTACCTTCCATAATTAGCTGTAATTTTAAATTTTTGGGTGCCGTCTTTAGGAACAAAAAAGTCTGCATTTTCCTATAGTCAGCATATGGATTGGAAATAAGCCTTTTTAAATAATGCTAATATCGAATAGTTTTAAAATTTTTACCATAGGTAGTCCCCCTGATTAAAATGGTATTATTTCTTGCAGAAATACAAATTTCCGGAGATATTCCCACTGGTTGCTTGTATTTTCTCATGATTTTTAAAATTCACAAAGAGTTTCATACCACAATATTGGTACGATCTTAATGGGTTTGAAGTTCTGATTACAAAAACGTAATTTTCATATCGAATAAGTCCATAGTTCATGAGATTTGGCCCTCCAAAATTCCGCGGGGAGCCTTTCCACTAGGCCTTAAACTATACATAAGAAAAAAAAACTATACTCATAAACTGCTAAATTACTCAACTTAAATACAAAAAACTTTTTTGTAGTAAATGGCGAACAAATTAACATACGCCGCATTATACAGTTGTGTTCATAAAAATAGTTGTTGTTGTTGACAGACGTTGGCCGAGTATAACTCGGGTCGTTTCGGATCGTAGACCCCTCTGTCGTGGAAACGATAAAAAATAGTAGTGCAGTTGATCTAGTACGGTATAGTAGGGTGAACCTTTTAGCGTCCTCTAAAATGGTAAAAACTAAATCAAATTCAATTAAATTTTTTTAATGTACGTATGTATGTTAATTTTTTTTATATTTGTGATACAAATTATTTAGATAAAAACACAACTCATTTTTATATATTATAATTTTCCATTCCATTCCTACTGGAGTAGTCATAATCCAATTAATCAAATTTTTTAATAATAATCTATAATAATCAAAAACTTTTTTTGTAATTTAATCGGTATAATATTCTTTAGTAGTTCAATATCTCTCCCTTTTACATTTAAGCCGCTTAATACGATAAATTTTATATTTAATTGTGAAATGTAGCTTACAGCCTTAAGGTCGAAAGACTGGGCACTATGAAATATATAAATAAATAAATAAATCTAACATCTGTTCATATTTGTATTATGTCGTAGGGCCAAACCATATGATCAATGGTATAATGGATAGAACAGTGTAGTCAACCTAAAAAAACATTATGCTACCGTAAGGGCTTTACCACAAACTATGAAATAAGCCAAAGTTATACGTGTATCAAACTATTGCTTTTATCCGACATTTTATGAACAGAACAAATTCGGACTATTTTATTTTATTATTTTTTTAATAGAAAACATATTTTTGTTCCGGGATAAGTGAGATAAGATTATAAAAAGAAATAAAACTATTTATTTGTGCAATTTTGTTAGAAAAAATTAAGTGTTCTTCAACAATTTTACAGTTCAGTACTTACAACCCAACCGCACTACTATTTTAATAAACACAGTTGTATGTGTCGCACATAAGTATATTAATAAAGGGCTTTAGCATTTTTTGCTAGATGCTATAATTTAGCCCCTTCTCGTACTCAAAAATTGGTAAAACTAAACTGATAAATGCGTTTATACATTCGTTGTAAATATTAGTTGTTACGGAATGCTGCATAAATCAGTGATTTGAAAATTGTTCATGTTTATCGAAGATCTATAAAAAAAATTAAATATTACATGCAGGACGACTTATGCGCCTGTTTTATTTTAATTCCTTTGCCGGTGACACTGTATTTAAATTATTCTCAGCATCACACAACAACTGCACATTCAGTACATTTACAACACACGTAAACATATCACCGTAATAATAACCGTTAAGCGGCAATCCTCTCATTCTCTTTTTCTCTCGCCTCTCTCACTCACGCTTGCTTTCCACTGCTATTGAAACAAAATCAGATAGAAGAAAATGAAATGAAATTTCAAATAAGGAAGAAAGACCAACAAAAATGTTAACATACAATAACGACACGTCCGTGTCTCCGATGCCAAAGTCTCCTGGCTTCTATGGCATTATAGGAATATGGAAGAAAGTGCAAGCAGTCTATTTCGCAACAAGCATATGGAAATTGTTTTCGTGTGTATGTAGTGCAAAATCACGTTAAAACATGATCCAATGTAATAAATTCGTTAATGTGCGTGTGTACGTATCTCTTCGAAACGAATGGCGGTAAATAAAAATGATGCCAACTTGACAAACAGAAATTTGGAAGTAAGGTAGGTGGCAGAAAGAAAAGGAAAGAAAATAAAACAACACGACAAAGAAAACAGAAATGAAACACATACATACACGTATTTTTGAGGAATAAAGAAAAACGAATAGGTGGGATCCACGAAATGCAAAACTAAAAAAAACTGGAATACCGTTTGATAACAGTACTTCGTAGTTTTGTTGTTATAATTAGAATAGGGACTTAGGACGAAATAAACTTACCACTTGACAAGGCGATAGTGCATTCCTGAGGATCCACAGTATAAAGACGTCCCTCATAGCGAATATCAGCCTTTGATATTAGGCTGATTTTCGAGCCCAGCTCCGGCATGCCACCACTCATTGTGTCGTAGTGGCAATATACAGTTCAAATTGAATAAATACCAAAGTAACACCGACGCCCCGTAATGACTATAATATTCTTTCAAGATCCAGATTTTTCAGAGCACTTCTTCAAGTCTAATTAATTCAATTCTAATTAATTGCAAACACTGAGTATTTCTTCTTAAAAGTTAGCTCTCTTCTTCTTCACTGTTAATCAGACACAATATCTTTCGCGAAAAAATGAAACGCACGACACTTCTGCAGTCGGAACTCTTTCTCTGATAAATCAGTGACACCGCTGCTCTCGGTGTCCAGTTGATATTATTTTTGCAATATCAAATGTGCTTTATTTTTTGCGTTGTTTTTTTTTTCCCAAATGGAAAATGTTTTTCCACAAATTACACTGCCGTCGACAATAAATTTTCAATAGCCCTGCTTCTCAATAACTTACTGCCAAATGGAAGAAACAATAATGTTCTCTGCACACAGTGCTACCAACCTTTAAATATCACATTCACCTCTTTTTCTAGCCTTGTTCCTCTATTTACTCTCTTTCTTGAGTTTAATGTTCGAATAAGGAGTGCGGCCAGATTGTTGGTTGTTTGCAAACGTTTTACTTTACTACTTTTTGATATTGTTTTCGTATTCCTTTGTTCCTTTTAAATAATTTCTTAATTTTCGGTGGCAACATTGTAAATTTTTAAATGTACCCATCATGGCCTATAAATACCCAGTGGGAAAAGTGAGAACGTATTACATTGAGAATCGATTTAGTAATGCATTATAATCATTGCATTATATAATGTATCCGGAAGAATCGAGAAAATAATATATAAAGACATTATAGATGACACATTATATAATATATCTTAAAAGTAACGAGGAGGTAATTTCAATTGACAAAAAATTCGTACTAATTAACTACTCGTTTCCCAAAGGATACGATAAGGTAATGAAATGTTTCACTTTTTTCTTGATTTTTATTTTTGAAGTCCCGTTATCTGTCGACTCTCTCATGTCGGAGTGTAAATTTGTCAGTTTTGTCTCTGTCGTGCACCAACAAAGACGTAATTTTGTAATTATTAGCAAAAGGAATAAACAACATTGTGTACATGAAGTGAATAAAGAAACAAATACAACTTGTGAAATTATTAATCCAAAACATAATTGCAAAAAAATGGATATCCTCCTTGGACAGCAATCCCATTAATTAGAATCTGTTCTTAAAAAGTGTAAGTAATGAAATCATAATAAAATATTCCTTTTTCTATATTTTTGTTATTGCAAAAAAAATTTTTTTTTTTTTGGTTAACAATAATGGAAATATTTGTATTGCCTGTGCCAAAAAATACTCTGTGAACACGTTTTATATTCATTTTAAAACTATATGTAAAATCGTTATATTTGTGAATAAAAACAAATGTTTTTCATTTAAACCAACAAATTATTTAATGAAACCCGGAGAATAAATTATTTCACATATTACTAAGGACCTATAAAAAATACATTACGACTCATCGATTACATTATGCATTATATGGATAGTATAGGAAAATATATTATTTTCGTAGGACATGCAGCGTGTTACGGATAATGCATAATGTAATCAACAAATCATAGTGGCTATGCATTACCCGTTCGTTTACCATCGATTACATTTTCCCACTGGGTAAGGTCGCCCAGGGAGATCAGATGGAAATCGATACCTCTCAAGTTTGCTGTCAAAATGCATTATTGAGAATTGACTTCCATTATGAAAACGTAAACAAAGTCAACATTTTTGGCATTAGACTTGAGAAAAAACAGGTGTTTTCCGATTTCGATTGCTACCTTGTGACCTTATTAATAGATCTTGGTACCCATGGTATACTCCGTAAGGTACAAGGTATATTTAGGCGTACTTTATGCCATGTTCTGACGGGCATGAATTAACCCGTTCATACAACCCTATTCTTAATTCATGTCATTAGAGTTTTTTTATTTCAAACTTTTTGTTTCTTGTTTTACACCAAAATGTTAACATTTTTGCGTGAATCACATATGGATCTAAATAGAAAAAATAATTCTCTTTCTCCTGACTATTGTATGAACCTATATCTATTTACTTTTAATTCATGTTTTCCATTTTTTCCGAAAATATTGTTGCTATTAATAAATTTTTATATTCAAATGTGACATATAAAAAATTGGAGAATATTTGTTTGGGTTTCCCCACATTTGTTTCTCGTTTTGTACGCTAGTTAGAACAAAAGGGAAAGAAATGCATATTGCATTATGTAGATTACAAAATTTACTTCCTTCTGCATTTATAAAAACTAGACAATTTGTTACTTTTCATTCATCATTTTCAATTTTACTGAAAAAGTTTGAAAATACTCTCAAATGTTATGCGGTGTACACACTAGCATTTTTGAATGGCACTCTTGCTCAAATTTTGCTTGTTTGATAGTGTGGCATCACATGTTTGTCATTCATCAGGCAACCACAAAAATATTTATGGTTTTTATCAGTAATCGATAAAAAAGCTGACAGTCAAAAATGATAGTGTGTACACCGCTTTAGGGATGGGACAAAATTCTTGGTTATTCAGAGAGTGATTCGAATTGAACAACGTACAAAAGTCGGTGTTCGCTCAGAAAATTTTGTATGGGGAACTAAGTAATTACTTCATAATTAGTGGTCGAACAACGAATGAGAGAGCAAACGACGCTCGTCTGTACGTGGCATTACATTAAGAATCATGGTTACGACTCATGGTCACGTATGTTTTGTTTACTGATTTCGACTTATAAAACTGACACTATCATGCAAGCAAAATAAAGTCGAAGTAACGCCAAGGCGACAGAAACAGTTGCGGAAGAAGGTCGCGTTCTTCGGGAAGAAATGAACCACGTCCGCGTCACTTCCAAGAAGTAACTTCTGCGATACTACGCAATAGTCACGCGGATGTAATTTCTCGGACTTACGCAGAAGTTACTTCTTGGAAGTGATGTTAATTACATCGATGTACGTAAACAGAAATGCAGTTATACAAAATTTTTTACAGGGAACTACATGTTCTGATATGTACCATGATATAATTATCTCAAGGTGGCTAGTTCCATCAAATCAAAATACATATTTACAAAATGCTGGATGTTGGAGTAGACTTAAAAGTTGCTAAGCTAAGTAGAATGATCGCGTTGCGCGTTGTGTTATATAACGCGTCGTAATGTAACTCGCGTTAGATTTTGCTATTCACTAATGTTTGGCCTTTTCCTTTATTATTTTATTGCCTTATTATTTCATTATTTTATCGTAAAGGCAAGGATGTTGCTCCACGCAATTTATTAATTGCGAGTTATTTTTCTTTTTAATTTTTTATTTGAGTTTGTGCCTATTTTTTTATTATTTCCCGAATAATTGCAAAGTTCAATGCGTTTTTTTGTGCACTGTAATGTCAACATACAAGTGTCAAGAATTAAATGCGCGCCTTGACGCCGAAAGTTAAATTTTTCAACTTTGACGCGAGTCAGTTCGCGTTATTAAGCGGAGCCAAAAGAAGTTTCTCATTGTTTAACTTTTAAGGGCTAATGGTGTTTTTACACGATATGTATTTTACATATGTGCTGTCACTTATTTCATCCATATGTAATTCCTTATGTGTGTCAAAATTAGCAGTGTACACAAAACATTTATTTTTGTGTTAAAATCGGCATATGTATTTTACATATGACATAACCTATAAACAAAAAAACACTTTTATTTTTTCTTAAATCAACATCATTTTTTTATTAAACACCTACAAACGAAATAATAATTTGTAATTGTTGCCTTTTCATCCTTTTCTTTGAATTGCAATTGAAATATTTTCTTCCAACAATGTGTTTCATTCAAACAGCTGATTTCCTAATGTTTCACATACGAAAATAGAGCGCGTCCTATTCGGAAAAAAATACATATGTAATTGCATATCGTTTTGACACATTGAAATTTCCGTATGTTTCACATGACGAGTTCGATTTCCATATGTAAAAAAGTGACAGCACATATGTAAAATACATATCGTGTAGAAACACCATAAGCAGAATGTTCCCGTTGAGCGTTTTTTTGTTATCGCGTTGAAGGGCTAAAGGGATAAGCAGAATGCCCGCGTTGAACCATCCGTCGCGTTATATGTTATCGAAAATACAACAACCACAAGGAAACGATAACACAAACGCATATCGTTTCCTTGTGGTTGTTGTATTTTCGATAACATATGACGCGACGGATGGCTCAAGCATTCTGCCTAACCCTTTAAATATATATTAACTTTTTCCGTGCGTTAACGCGATAAGAAAAAAACGCTCAACGCGAACATTCTGTTTAGCCCTTTAAAGCGTTAACGCATGACATGAAACAACGCTCAACGCGAACATTCCGCTTAGCACTTTAGTATTATAGTATTTGTAATTATTTTTCACACAAACACGGCTTTTATTTTTCATTTATGATCACTGTGTGAATTTTTGAAGTAAATTTTGCGTTACGCTAATGTGCGGCGAATTCAAATTACAACAATATGTTTTGATAATCAGCTGGGCTGATGCGAATATTATCGCCCATTTTGGTAGAAAATACTCCAAACTGTCAAATTTTTTGTTTACGTTTTCACGCGATTAAGTCAAATTGAAAGCATTTTGACAGCTCGGGTGAAACCATCTGGCCTTGTCGGACGACCTTATTATTGGGCCATGCTCGACCTGTTTAATGGGCTTTTATTCAAGCAATAAAAACAAAATTACCACGTTTAGAGTCGGTATATGCCGATGTCTTTAAAATTATTTAACTGTTTGAATACAAGTCCAATTAAAAAACGCTGTATGGCTATTTTTACTCAGATTTTAAATCCAATAACTGGACAAAATGAGTGGTCTGCTAAAGACGACACATACGACTATCACCAAGAAGTGGCAAATGCTGGATTTGGGGACATGCTTCATGACTGGGAGAGGAACCAAAAATATTATCAAGCTCTGAAAAAAACAATAGCTAAAATGCACAGTTTAGGCAGAGAAGCTCATGTCCTCGACATTGGAACCGGAACCGGTATACTATCAATGATGGCGGTGTCATCTGGCGCAGATTCGGTGACGGCGTGCGAAGCATTCCTGCCCATGGCCAACTGTGCCGAAAAGATTTTGGAGGCAAATGGGATGAAGGACAAAATTAAACTGATTAAGAAAAGATCGACAGATATTGAAATCGGTGTAGATATGGCAAGGAAAGCCAATTTATTGGTCAGTGAAGTTTTAGATACTGAACTAATTGGGGAAGGAGCTATTGGCATTTACAATCATGCCCACACCAATTTGTTGACAGACGACGTTGTGTGCATTCCATCGAGAGCAGTGTGTTTTGCGCAACTTGTTAGCTCTCCTTTAGCCGCTCAATGGAATTCGATGAAAATTTTGGCCAATTTGGATGGAGACGTGTTATTAAGACCACCAAAAGAAATTTCCGAATGTAAGGGAGAGGCTAACCTTCATGACGTTCAACTCTCTCAGTTACCTTTAGAATCATTTACGCCGCTCACACAGCCCATAGAAATATTCCAATTTGACTTTAATTCAAAAAATCCTCGTGAGTCGGAACGCCATCGGAATATTGAAACAAAAGCCTGTTTTGCTGGAAGTACCGATCTCGTATTTTACTGGTGGGAGATTTCCTTGGATGTAGAGGGTGAGATCAGGCTATCATGTGCTCCTTACTGGGCGCATCCGGATCTGAAGGAACTAGCTGCTTCAAAAGTGCCAACAAAACCATTGTCTAATGTCATTCCATGGAGAGACCATTGGATGCAAGCAATTTACTATATACCGAAACCCTTATTCTTCCAAAAGAACGACAACTTTACACTACAATGTAATCATGATGAATACTCCTTATGGTTCGATGTGAGAGTCAGCAAAAACGACTTAATTTCAAAAGTTCCTAGACACGAGTGTTCCTGCAGAATGCATCTGACTTATTCGAGGTCTAGAATTGGACAAATGAATGAGAGCTTTCGTAATAAACGCTACATGAAATTCCTAGAGGAACACATTAATGCAGGTTCCAACATATTGGTGCTTAGTGAAAATTGTCTCCTGGGAATATCGTGCCTTAAACTTGGAGCCAAGTCTGTAATATGCTACGAACCTCAACACTACTCGAGAGATTTTTTAAAAAGTGTTGTTAACTACAATCAATTGGACAATGTAAGAATAACTGAAAAAATTAGCGACATAACGGAAGCAGAGTTCAAAGCTGTCAACTTTATATTCGCCGAGCCCTATTTCCTAAACTCAATATTGCCGTGGGATAACTTTTATTTCGGTACATTACTAATGCAAATAAAAGATAGGCTTCAAAATTTTAACGAGATGCTCATATCGCCACATAGTGCTAAGATATATTGTGTTCCACTAGAATTCTTGGATTTACATAAAATTCGTAGCCCTGTAAAAGAGTGCGAGGGCTTCAATTTAAGTCTCTTTGACCAAATGGTGCAGGTAAGTAAACGTTTGGGAGTTTCAAAACATTTGTAATGCCGCAGGAGTTCGTTCTTAACACGAATATTGAAACTACTTTTCAGGAGTCCATGTCAGTTGCTCAAGCAAAGGTTGAGGCGCAGCCGCTTTGGGAATACCCTTGTAGGGCATTAGCAAAAGAACAAGTGGTACTGCGTGTAGATTTCAAGCATTTTGATAAAGACCAATCAGTAAAAGGAACAATTCCAATAGAATGGTAAGATTCATCCCGCATTTTTTACATTCAATTAGATTTATTTTTTTTTTTCAGTACCTCGGAATGCAATGGAATTGCATTATGGGTCGATTGGTTGTTGGATGATACCATCGATACAAAATCTGTTGTTAGTTCTGGACCGATTGAGCCCATTGAAGTTGGAAAATATATTAAATGGAACATGTTTGTTCGCCAAGGCGTACATTTAATGAACCAAGCACAGCAGGTTGAACGTGCAAAGAGCGAAGTTCACTGGGATGTCACTTTCAAACCTAACGAGGGACTCCTAGATTTTAATTTTTTTGTCAAATAAGGAGCCGTAGTATTAGTATTAGGAGTTAGTTTCTGTATTTAACACCTTACACCATTCATTTTTTTATTAAAGTTGTTTTACAATTTTTGTACATTTAAAAATCCATAAAAATAACTTACAATACAAATAAACAAAAATAAACATGTAAGTAAAATACATGGAAAAGTTAAGATAAAGTAATTGTAATCAATTGATAGTCGACATTGTTATTGAAGTCCCAACTGACGATATCGTCTCCACCGAATCATTGTGTTGCTGCTTAAATGTGTGCAACGCGTCCACATGATGAATTTCTTGCATTCCGCTTGATTTTTGTATCGCAAGAATAAATGCACCCAATTTGCTGCTTTCTGTCAGAAGTGTTGGCATGTAGAATGTCAGATAAGAGCGTTTAAAATTCGGACTGCTTGAATCGTCCTCGTCTGCTTCGGTATCCTTTTGAACAGAGGTTGACGCTACCTCTTGACTGTATGAGCGATGTATGCGTATGATTTGTACGGATTGGAAATGAGCGACATACAAAAATGGCGCCCTGTAGAGAAAGCCACATGGCGTGTACTCCCAATGGATATCGTAAGGACGAGAGCGACAGCCGTATTCATCAACGAATATACCACTTTCCATGAAACACAGTAGAAATTCATGTTTCGATATTCGCAGGGCACTGACGGGTGTATAGCTGTGCGTGTGCGAAAGTGTTTTGTCAGATAGATCCAAAAATTCCTCAGCGCCATAAGTGGATAAGTCAATTTCGAAAAATTTATCTGAGGTTACAATTGCCGAGTGACGGGTGTACAATATTGACGTCACAGCTGTGGCGGTATCAAGAGCGCGGACCGGCTTAAATTTTTGATATTTAACGTCATATTTCAGTATAACAATGCGATTAGAGGTTGCAGCTATGGCTACTGTATCTAAGGGTTGGTCACTTTCCTGGGATATCTGCACTAATTGCCACTTCTCGGCAGAGGTTCGGTTTGCAAATGGCAATTCCAAAACGGATGCTTCTAAGGCGGGATTTAGACAAGCACTCGCTTGACATCGGGATTGTAAATGGCGAAAATCACATTGATAAAGGGACTCTCCATGTGATCCAACCATGATGGCCTTGGCCAGAGTCTGAGATATCGCAATGCAGCTTACGGCATCTATGCCAGCAATATGGACTAGGTTCTTAGTCTGAATGTGTAAGGCATAAAGACCAGTATTGCAACCTAGCAATAAAATCTTTTTCTCTTCAATTTCATAGGCGCATGTTACTTCCAACGGAGTTTCATTTTGAATAGATGTTATGGCAAACACGAGAGTACTTTTGTTGAGGTTGGATTTTGACGACTGGTCGGAATTGCCAGCACCGCACTCATCAATTTTCGCTTCATACGAATATTTTCCAATGGACTCTGAATCTAAATCTGTTTCTTGTGGAGCCGATGGTTCTTGTATTAATGCCGCTATACTATCAGTGGAACTACCGTTGTTCGCATTACCGGACAATATGAGACCTATTCCACCACAGTCTTGTTTGGCGGAACCCCGACATTTTCTATGAACTGAATCCTTACATTCTCTACACTTCCAAAATGGAGAACCTGCAACTATAAGGTTCTGACAAACTGAACAGTTGTCGGTTCCGCCACTGCCTTCCTGTAATGCCAACTCAAATCGATGATGCGATGGTGCGTAATTAGCCGATTCCCCAGCAAGGTGTGTCTCATTTCCATTCTTTATAGGGCTTGATGGCAAGCGTTCACCTTTATTTTGGCTTTCGTCTTGTAGAATTTTTTTGGTAGGAGTTTTTCTGAGATTATCATTTTGCTCTATTTTGTTCTCTTTTGCTTTCAACGGCGACCGTCGCATTGTGCTTGCCTTATTCTCTTGTAGCTTATCCAGTTGTTCCTGTAGTGATCTGCAACGCATTTTCTCCCGTTTAAGTTCTTCCTGTAGCGTGCGATAAAGTATTGAGTTTTCAATTGTAGACTGTAGCTCCTTTTTATTAGGAACAGCGTTCGAATGATGCCCAAAAATTTTGTCAGCTAAAGTTTTCTTTTTCTTTTGTGTCAGGTCCTCCACTTTTAACTGCAGATAATCGATAAGCTTCTTATGTTGTGACAGCGTAGCCTCTGACTTAATATCTCTTTGCAAGAAGAAGTTTTCCTTTTCTTCCAGAATTCGTTTGAAGTCCTGCAATTCACCTTGTAATTCAGAATTAGTAGCTAGCGAATTGGAAAGATCTTGTTGTAAGCCCTGCGCTTCTTCCTTGGCATGAAAGAGATCCGAAAGTATGCGAGCATTTTCTTCCTTGAGCAGTATCAATTCGCGTTCTAATTTTTCGTTAGCTACTTGTGTACTTTGGGTTTCATTCTGTAGGACCTCGACCTTTTCTTGGGACGCATAGAGTGCCGTGGTTAGTTCCACCAAATGCTGTTGCTGCTCCGCCATTTTGTCCTTCATATCTTCCAGTGCTGTTAAATGGTCTTGTATTTCCTGGGACAAGCATGCAGTCTTTGTCTCCAAAGTTCTATTAAGGGTTTGTTCTTCTCTTAATTTTGTTTTCAACTCAGATTCCAGTTGTTCTTTTTCGCGTATCTGTGCATATAAAGTGTCCAATTTTTCTTGATGACTCTTGTTACATTTCTGCTCTTTTTCAAGCATTGCCTCCACCTCCGTCAGTTGCTTATCTGTCACTGTACATGCATATTTCAATCTCTCGTAATTGTCTTTCAGATTTTTCAGTTCTATTTGGGTAGCTGATAGCTGATCTTGGGTATTGCCGTGCGACTCTTTCTCTTCGCCGATGTCTCTAAATAGCCGAGTATTTTCGATGCCGAGTTTATCACACTTCTGTTGCCACTGGTGAAGTTGCTGCCGTAAATCACCAAAACGATCCTCAAGCTGCTTACATTTTGATATTTGTTGCATTAACTGAAATCAATAATCGTTTTAATGGAATCATTTAACAAATGAGTGATCTAAAACATACCTCTGACTTGCTCTCCATGCGTTCCTTTTCGGCAGTTTCCCACATACGATGCTCTTTAAGTATATCTGCCTTTAAAATAATTATTTCCTGTTTCAGTTCGTCTATTCTTTCTTCCCTTTGTTTTAGAGATTCTTCGGACAATTTTAGAGAACGCTTTGCTTCCTCTCGTTCAGCTTGGACTTTTTTTATTCGCTCTTCGGTCAATTCCATTCGCCTCTGGGTCATTTTTTTATCGGCTAGTGCCTCCTCCAGTTGTTTTTCCACCTTCCATAATGCTAAATTAGCCGTACGCGCTGACTGCCTCTCCACGATCATTTGTTCGCGAACTGCTGCCAATTTGTCTTCTAACCTTTCGTTTTGTTTTTCTAAAATATCGCCAGCTGCAATATTGTGGATTCTCGGAGCCGGCATTGGTTTTGTAGGAGATAATGACTGTTCATTAAATCTCTCAAGCATTTCCTCCAACTTTTCAACTATTTCCTGTAACTTGTCCGCTCGAGCTTTTTGTGTAGTTTCATTCTCTTTTGCTACTTCTAAGTCAGCTCTCAACTGTTCTTCGATCATCCGAATGTCGGACATAGATCCTGGTGCTGTTTCATATGGAGAAGACTCGGTGGCTATTTCACTTTTAGCTAGATTTTTTCCACATTCTGCAACCTATTGAAAAGTTTGTATAGTAAAGTGTGATGCATAAGAAGATGAGTAAATCTATTAGCAGAGTCTGTCATTAGTGTATAAAAGTAATATACATATTTATTTTTTTGCACTTCTGTCTTATGTCCAACGCAATTACCAACATTATATCATAAAGCGAACTAACCGATTTCCAAATGCAAAGTATAGTTAATAAAATTATTTTTTATAATCCAGATTATAATGTAATTCGAATTGTTATTATAGAATCAACATAAATTACTGTCAGTTTGGGGCTTTCATGTAAATCTGCCTCAAAATCAAATACATATGTATAATGTAAAGTTATTTGAATTGCATTTTTGAGTGAATACATAAATGAAATAATACTTACGGAATGGAAAATAATAATTACCTGCAATTCTCTTTCCAATCGGCTATTTTCTTGTTGTAGCGACTCAAATATCTTTGACATTTCGGCATATTTATGCTGTAATTCAGAATTCTGCTTGTGCAATTCATTATTAGCATCAATTTCTTTATTGAGGCGTTTGAGAATGTCGTCGTTGCTTTTGGCAGACGCCTTTTTAGCCTCTTCTGAAGATCTTGTACTTATTAGGGTATCATCCAATTCTGTACGAACATCACGCAATTCCATTGTTAGTCGCGATTTGTGGTCCTTTTCGTGTCGCAACTTCGCCCTTAACTCGGTCAATTTCTGTTCGTACATTTCGGACAAGCTCATTTTATTCTTCTCAAATTCTTCCCGATCTCTCTGTGCCTGTTCTTTATGTTGTCTTAGCATTTCCTTGTAGTTTTCCATTGTATCCTGCAAACGTGCACATTCTTCAATTTTAAGTGACAGTTCGGCTTCACGCTCATCCAGCTTGGCGTTAATTGCGGCAATCTCCATTTTCTTTTCTAATATGCGCTTTTCGTATGCAGCGTCGGAAGCATTTTTGGCTTCATCATACTTCTGTCGATTCATACGCAACAATTCTGTTATGGTTGCCTCTTTCTTTGCCCACATCTCCTGTTCGATTTTTAAAGAACTTTGCAATGTCTTAATTTTGGTACGCCAGGTTGCTAATTCGTTATTTTTTTCTTTAATGATGTTTTTCATTTTAACTATTTCCCCCTTGGCATCATCTAAAGCCTGCGATTGGGTATTTGATTGCTTAGCTTTGAGTTCTGCTCTGAGAAGTTCCTGCTTCAATTTTGTGATTTCCCCCAGCCGTTCTTTGTGCTTAGCTTGCTCTTCTTTAAGCTTGTTATTAAGCTTGGCATAACGCGCATCCTCTAAGGCTCCATGTTCAATTTTTTGCAGCTCCATATGCACGAAGCTGTACCCAATGAATGGTAAATCTTTACCGCAAAATTCGTTCGAGTTTACATTGGATGTTATTGGAGGTTTATTCGAACCGGTGTTTATGACTTTAGTTTTCTTACGATTAAAGTCTTCAAAATTTGATATATCATCTTCACTTTGAAGAGTTGGTATTATTGGTGGTACTTCAGACCGCAAAGATTCCCACTTTACATTTTCAAAGAAGGCATGTTTTCGAATTGCATCGTAATTTAGGCGTTTCGACGGATTCGTTACCAACGATTCAATCAGACTTCTAAAATGATTTGACAATTTCAGATCGGCGGGGAATGTTATAAGTTCCTTTAATTTGCTTTCTTCACAGTATGTTAATATTTTGGAATAGGTTTCGTGAACATTATCTTCATGAAAAGGAGTTACTTCACAAACTAGCTCAAAACCGATGATACCCATGGACCAATAATCGCAACTTACCTATAAAAATAATTGTGGGGTTACGTAATATTCATGAGTAATTCTAAGACAAAACTTACGTCGTGCTTATTCTTTGTTAGCTTGTACGTTGAAATTGTTTGCAGAAGCTCTGGGGCAATGTAATCGGGAGTACCAACTGGTGATAAGCTGAAAACATGTCCATCACGATCCAATGCTGCGGCATTGCCAAAATCCCCCAATTTAATATGACCGAAACGGTCAATTAGTATATTTTCTGGTTTAATGTCTCGATGAACATAGCCCATGCAGTGAAGAGCATTTATTGCGATAGTAAGTTCAGCTAAATAGAATCTTGTCATCTGTTCGTCAAAAGGTCCATGGCGGGACATCAACCCTAACAAATCTCCTCCGGGTAAATATTCCATTATCAAATATAAGTGTTCGTTGTCCTAAAATATGCATATCATTAATTTTTGAGTCGCATTTATTTCTACAAGAATTACCTGGAAAGCATATTGTAGATTGGTTATCCATTCGGAACATCTTTTGGACATTATGTCACGCTCCTCTCGGACTTGTGATGTCGTGACAACGGACTTCCTTATCTTTTTCATAGCATAAATGTCGCATGTTTGCTTCTCCAGAACTAAGTATACTTCTCCAAAATATCCTTTGCCTATTAAGCTGCGTATACTGAAATCCCTCACGTTCACTCTAAGACGTTGCGTTTCTTCGATTATGCTTTTGTCTACAAAGATTTCAAGGTAAAAATCGTGTCAAAATAACATACACTATAGTTTCAATGGAAGACATCAATTTGTATTTCTTCGGGGACTCTATATATAACCTTCCATAAAAATGTACTTACATTTGTTGACAAATTCTGCAATGTGTTTGTCGCGTTTTCGTAGTGATTCCTTATCGCACTCATTGTAGAGCAGACAGAACGCATCTAAGAGGCTTTCTCGGTTCATAAATTCCGCCAACAATGTACTGACGCCATAACCACGACCACCTGTATCATTTTTGAATAAAAAATTAAATGGTAAGATTTATCTTTACGAGACCTATGGTCTGTTCCCGTACTATAATAATTTTTAACGTACTATAACAATTTTTTATTTATGATGTCGAAGAAAAAATTAGTAGATACTTGCAGTACGGGAAAATATCAATAGTATCTATGTCAAGTATTCATACGACATCTGGCTCCCAAAAATATACAGTGCCGATCATATAATAAGCATATAACAGAAGGGAAAGGGGTTTCGATTAGCCCTCGATTCGTTTGGCATATTTTTAAATAATTTTGAGAATTAAGGCAGATGGAACAATTAAAGAAGGTAGGATATCTTGAGATCAATAACAAAAAGCAACTCTGTAGGTTGAGGCTTCATATGTGAAATATAAAATAAATTTGCAAATGTTGCGTGTATATGAAATGTTCGCATTTTTTATTCGTGATTTAGGAAAAATGGGACGAAGTAAAGATTAGAGCCCGGTCGCGGATCGATTGATTGATTTTAAATCAAATCACATTTTTTTCTTTCCGAAATCCATACTTTCTTTTATTGGGCCTCCAAATTACGCCGAGATTTGCATTTTCCCAATTAAATGTCTACACTTCCAAAATTCCATTGGTGTTGTCTACGGCTTGCAATGGTCTTCGGAATTACACACAGGTTTTATTATTCGCGTTATATTTGTTATACATATGTTTTTATCAAAGATATGCCCATCTGTGTAGTGGTACCAGAAGAGGTTGCCATATAGACGTCATCTTCGGATTTCATCCAATTAGCTACTCAGTTGGATTCCAATTAAATTTACAAAATTTTAAAGGGTTGGCCCTTTGATAAGAATGTACCAGTAGTGAACCAATGGGTCCCATCTTCGGACCTTATCTAGGTTTGATAAAAATAATTTCGATTTTTCCATTTGCTTGATATTGGAGTGGACCGGCGGGTCCTATTTTCGAACATGATCTATGTATGTAATCATATTACGACGTCCAAAGTGTCTGTGAATTTGGGTATTGCATTCGCTCCATATGCGATTTATAAATTTTTAAAATTAAATTAATTTTTAGCTAAATTTTGACATATTGTGGTGGAGATACTGGAAAGATGACAATTTGTGAAGTTTGGAAGAAGATTGTAACCGATTTTGTGCAAACTTTGCACATTGTAAGGCAGACGGACGGGCATTTGTATATCGACTCCAAATTGCCAAAAGAAATATTGCGGCAGCAATTGTACATACCCTCATTAGCAATAATGCTGAGGTTATAAAGAATAGTTGTTGTGGATGGACGGCCATCGGCCGGATATTCACTATTTTACTCTATGGATAGATGCTAACACCGGCTATGCAACAGAATCGGCTTTGAAATAGGATAGTATGATCTTCTAGTATATTATGGACCTCTTGGATAAAAAAAATAAACCGCTTCAAATTAAAACTCATATTATCTTAGTGAATTTTAAAAATCATGGAAAACACAAAAATCCCTGCGGAAATCACAGGAAATGTGCATTTCAGCAAGACACAAATATATTGTTTGGGTATAGAAATAACTTGGCGGCAATAAGTTCGTGTTCATTGTGTGTGGCACTTACCGAGGAGAACATTGTTCAAACGGACACTTCTTACACTAATTGCATCAGAACTTATATCCATTTTGAATGCAATATTTATTTATTTTAGTATCTATTTAAAAAGACATTTTTCACTCAAAACACTCAGTAATATCTGAAACAGATGGCGGCAAACAGTGCAGTGCGTCGTTGAAATTCAAACTAAAGAAATAAACAAGCCAAATGTCTGCCAGTGTTGTTATAGATTTACTAAGTATTTATGTAATCAAAATGTGTATATGGTTACTCAAACTTGTGACGTGTAATCGTTTTTCAGTGAGTAGCGAAGGTGATGCCAGGTTATCTATTTATCGATTCGAACAAGTCGATTATAAAGGGCTATGCAGAATGTTCGCTTCGAGTGTTTTTAGTTATCGCGTTAACGCACGCAAAAAGTTAAAATATATTTAACTCCGAAGCGTGTAATCGTTTTTCAGTGAGTAGCGTAGGTGATGCCAGGTTATCTATTTATCGATTCGAACAAGTCGATTATAAAGGGCTAAGCAGAATGTTCGCGTCGAGTGTTTTTAGTTATCGCGTTTACGCACGCAAAAAGTTAAAATATATTTAACTCCGAAGCGCAGCGCACATCAACTTCGAGCGTTTGTGTTATCGTTTCCTTGTGGTTGTTGTATTTTCGATAACACAACGCTACGGATGGCTCGAAGCCAACATTCTGCTTAGCCCTTAAGAACCTGCAAGAATGTACAATTTTTAAATTCGATAACAAATTTTCCTTTCTAAAAATAGTAGATTCTTGCAGTACGGGAACAGACAAAAAGTGTATATCCATGGTACAATTATTCAATGTAGGCCATGGTAACTTAAAAATTGCACAGTCGTATGCAAAATGTGCGATTATATATTCCAAAATCCATTTGCTTACAGATGAATTTTACACATTCCATTCATCTTTCGCGTTTTTTGTAAAATGTTAAAAGTATGTCAAATAAACAGAACGACTTATTGCATTTGTTTATATTTTTCTGGCATTATAGCCCACAAGTCAGAGGTGTTTTTTCTCTAAATTGACAAAAGTATAACAGTACCATGTATAGCCGTGTATTACATTTGAATGAAAATTTAGCCCAGTAGTGCGATTCTATAAACGGCATTTATATTACCGGGTTAACGTACTTTATGAGGATTTATTTTGTGCTTATCCCATGGCACAATAAACTGTCAAATTGCGTAATTTCTACTTGTTGCCAAACATGTGAAATATTATAAGGAGAAGTTTGACAGATGGTCGAGATAAAAACAAAGGGTTTTGTTTGATGCATTACCTTTATGGCTAAGCCCTTAGCCAGAGCGACAACTGACCCGGTGTTTAAACTACCGCTAGCATATTTGGTTCCGGAGTGAATTGAAGATGTAATAAAGTTTACCGGTTACTTGTGTAATCGTTTATTCTCGAAATCAATCCACTTTAAACATATGATTCGAATTATCGTAATATATATCGATAGTATCGTTCGCAGTGGTTTCATCGTCCATTTGTCAGCTCTAGTTTCGTAATCTTTTCGTGATTCGAATTGAATTTTCTTTCATTCCTCCAAAAAAAAAGTTGTGCTTCTGGCCAAGACGACGATGGCGGCTACGTTAGGAAGAATTTGTGGTTCCAAATTGCTTAAATCCGTACCTGCATTCAATCTGCAGCAGGTACGCCAAATATATCAAGAAATCAAGCGTTGTGTGTTAAATAATACCTACATCGTTTCCCCTCGAAAATATACGAATCGAATTATGAAATGTTTTAAAGTGTTCCGATTGTATGAATTAAAAATTGACTTAAAATAATAAAAATGTAGGGTAAAACGCACAGTCAGTTCAAAAATTGATCAGCAGAACAACATACATGAACAGTGATTCTTCTTCAAAGCAATATGAAGTTTTTCTACGGGGTTTTTCTTAACAGTGACATTATGTAACCTGCCATTGAGGTTTTGTTTTTATTTCAAGTCCATCAAAAAATTACACGTTCGGATAAAGACATCAATTTGACATAATTATCGTGTTGGCCACTTTAAAATATTCCTTATTTATTTTTATTGCAGGCCAACGGTTTATCCACCGCAAAAACTTGGACTAATGGCCAGAAGAAGGTAAGTGTGTGTATACCACTACTAATGTAGGGAGACACAAACGATGTCTCCGGTAATTATTTTGTATAAACATAACCTCAATAGTAAATAATATAGAAAATGTTGAGGTGCGGATGAATATAAATACGAACTGAATATATTTTCCCTAAATTAACTGTTGCATTTATTTACAGTTAGTGGCCACTATCGGAGCCTTGACCGGTGGTGTTGGTGCGCTTATCTATGCTTTGGAGCAATCTGTTGAAGCTTCCGGCACTGAAGTACATCCACCTAAGATGCCATGGAGTCATAGTGGTCTGATTTCAGCGTTGGATCATAGCAGGTGAGTGCGACTTTTCGAAAATATTGAGTATTTTTGACGATTTTTTTCTTATTGTAGTGTACGCCGTGGTTACGAAGTGTACAAGCAAGTTTGCTCAGCCTGTCACTCCATGAAGTACATTGCTTACCGCAATTTGGTTGGTGTAACACATACTGAAGCCGAAGCTAAGGCTGAAGCTGAAGGCATCATGGTAAGTGAGATAGTTATATGTGGTGGAATAATGTTTAATATATATCTACCGAAAGGTACGTGATGGACCCGATGATGCTGGTAACTACTATGACCGCCCCGGTAAGTTGTCCGATTACTTCCCATCACCTTACCCCAACGAAGAAGCTGCTCGTGCTGCCAACAATGGTGCTTATCCACCTGATTTAAGCTACATTGTATCTGCCCGTCATGGTGGTGAAGACTACATCTTCTCCCTCCTTACTGGCTATTTCGATGCCCCAGCTGGTGTAGTATTACGTGAGGGTCAATATTTCAACCCTTACTTCCCTGGTGGTGCCATTTCCATGGCCCAAGTCTTGTACAATGAGGTAATGAGTAAGACTCTAAATTAACAGTGTGTCATACTAATTTATCGTCTATGTCAATAGGTCATTGAATACCAAGACGGTACTCCAGCAACTCAAAGTCAGTTGGCCAAGGATGTGGCTACCTTCCTTAAATGGACTTCTGAGCCCGAACATGATGTACGCAAACAAATGATTATTAAGGTTGTTGGTATTATGACCTTCTTGGCTGCCATCACTTACTACATTAAGAGACACAAGTGGTCCGCCATGAAATCACGAAAGATTTTCTTCGTTCCCAAGAAAGATTAAGCCATTTTAGTTAAACGCCACACATAAATGTATGCAATTAGGCTACCATCAGCAACAACAACAATAGCCTTTGATTATAATTGAAAAACTACAAAGAACTAATCTAAAAAACGTTATTAGAAAATTATAAAAATAATAAAAATAACTAAAAACCAAAAAATAAACTAATAAATTACTTTCTAAAGGTAATTTACTATCAAATAAATTTGTTAGTTGTATTCGCTATTTATGTATATAGGTAGGTAACATTTAAAAATTTCCTACGCTACACATTAGGAAAGACATTCTTAAAAACAGTAAGTAAATATTATTCCGAAATTACGTTTTCTATAAAAAATAAATGAAATGTGATTGTATATTGTGTCCTATCAATATGTTTTCTTCTTAGTTTAGATGACATATCGACTTGCAATTTCCCACTTTTTCGGACATCTGAAAACTGGACGTATGGTACTTATTAACGTGCCAAAGTTCGATCAAAACAATGCATTTAACAGCTATGGTATGAGTTTCCAAAATTACCTCTTGCCTCAATTAAAGAAATAAGTGATCGCAATACATTTTCAAGATTTTACTTCTATTTGGTTCGAACTAAGCTCTAAAATACATTTAATTGTGAATAACTTCGACATGTTGTCAGCAAACAGGGCTATTTTGAGCTATCAATTGATTAGGAAAAAAATTTACTGTCAGTCACTACTGGTGCTCCTCAGGAATAAGTGCTTGGCCCCTTGTCATTATAATACATGATTTTTTGTATTTTCTTCAACTATTGCAAATCTTTTCCTCCTGATGAAATTTAGTTTTGTTTAAGTGCAATGGATCATTCCCGAATGTTATAAAAAGTGTTGTAGCTTCCTCCTTCCTTCCAAAAATCGACACCTCCCCAAATGGTTAAAAATATAAAAAAAAATCTCTGCTGTCTCCTTCACAAATTGCCAATAGAAGGTGTAGTGGTCTGCTGGGGGTTCGTAGTGATGTTCCCCAAGGATCTGTTCTAGGTCCTCTGTTGTTTATAATCCACTTGAACGACCTGTTTAAAAAATTGGAGAGTTGGTGTGTCCCGTTTGCCTTTGCGGATGATTTGTAGTTAGTATTTAAGGGAGGTAGTCGTTTTGTTACTGTGTTGCAGTCACAAATAGATTTAGTAATGGCTTTGTTGTGTGATTGGATGCGTAGTAATAGCCTTCGGGTAAATCCTTTAAAAAGCAAAGCTCTATTATTTTCGAAGTTCAGTGATGTAAGTGTTCATGTTAGGTATGCTGGTGCTATTATTGAGTATGTTGGGGAAGCTCCCCAATGTCTTGGTGTTATTTTAGATAACAAACTTTCGTTTAGGCAACATATTAACCGGGTAGTGTCAAGAGTTAATTGGTCTTTAAGATCTCTTTATAGAACCGATTTATCTTTGCCACTTTTTGTCAAGGAGCGGTTAGTAAGGGCTTTTGTCCTTCCTTCGACTATTTATTGTTTTGATTATAATATCAGGTACGACGCAATGCCGCTTGAATTTGGTGCAGCTGTCGTTGAACCGTGCTGTGCGCTACATATATAGACTTAATCGTATATCTCATATTTCGCCCTATGTGCGCAAATTTCTGGGCTTTTCGTTTCAATCATTTTTAAATTGTCGGTTGATGCTTTTGTTTTACAACTTAATTGTTTTTCAAAGTCCGCTTTTCCTAATAGGAACCTTTAAGTTTACACACTCTACTAGAAACAGTCAGTTGATAATACCGCGAATTGCTTATTTAATGGATGATTCATTCCTTGTTAGAGTAGCTCGGCTGTATAATAATTTGCCACCTACATTAAAATTATTTAGTGTTTCGCACAAAACATATTCTAACAGGCTTCTTCAGCATTTCAAATAGTATTTTTTACGCATTTTTCCTAAATTTTTGGAGTCAGTATTTTTGTGATGGTGTTTTTTTTTCATTTGTTTATTTTAAGTAAACTCTCGAAGTTTTAATTGTAGTCTACCCTGCAATTTTTGATTATGAATTTATAGAAAGATAGTTTTGCATTTTTTTATATTTACAAATAGTTTTAACATTATTTATGATACGTGAAGTAGTTTTATCCTTTAAGCTAAAGTTAATTGTGTTTTGGATTTTTTTGCTAACTTATATTTACAAATAGTTCTAATATTATTTATGCTACGTGGAGTAGTTTTATCTTTTAAGGTAAAGTTAATTTTATTTATTTCTTTCAAAAATGCAATTTTGTACGATGTATATTGTAATTCTGTCCGTTAATGGGCTTGGATTACATGTGAAATAAATGAAATGAAATATATTGCTACTCGATTAAGTTTAAACACATTCTGTGAGACAAATAGGCTCACTACCGCAGAAAAAGTTATACAACATTATTCATAACTAAAAAGCTATTTATGCTTTTAAAAATTAAAATCAAATGAAGCCGAGGTTCACCCTTTATAACTAGGAAATTATAAAAAGTAGTAGCCTACAAAATGAGAATTACGTGCCTTATTTATATATTTTTTATATGGTATGTTCCCGTACTGCAAGAATCTACTACTATTTCCTACGATAACGAAGTTTCCTTTATGATATCGAAGAAAAAAGTAAGATCTAGTTTAATCTTGCAGTACGGGAACAGACCAATAATTTTTCGAAAATGTATCTGCATATATCTTTAAATGACACCGACATGTTGTAGCATGCACAGTTGAGAATAATACTGGAAATTAATATGGAAATTTTGTGCGATCACATTTCTAAAAAACCTATTTTCCGGGCAAATGTTTATATCTGTCATTTGACTGATATGTGCATCCGCGATCAGTAAAATAAAAAAGTTTAAGGATAAATGCATTAAAGACGTATGGACATTTTGGAAATTATTGGCGTTTTACGAGTTTTGGGCACTTCAATGCAAGTGTTCTACATGTTTGCCGTCGAATCAATTTCGCACTTCCTTCAGTACTTCCTGAAAACAGCATGCGCATCAAATTATTTTAGGAACTACGCGATTTAGGCGCAATTTAAAATATATATTTCCAATACAGCTTTAGTTTAAGATCATGTCATAATTTCATGTCACGCTTGTTATAATCCGCAAGATGTACACATGTACATGAGATATACAGCCTTATTCTGGATATTTGCTAGGGAGATATCTCGCATGTAAAAAATTTTCGCTTTCACATTCTCGCCTTATTCTGAATCAAGGTAGATATACAAGGTAGCCGCATCGGCGAATTTCTACAACAAACATCGGTTGTTGTATTTTGATATGTCAAAAATATTTTGCAAAAACAAACAGATTGACAAGATTTTTTTACACAAATTCTTGTAGAAAATGTTAATAAAAGTGGTGCCAAAAAAGCTCTTCGAAATTCGGAGATTTTCATTTATTTGTTTTTTAATTTTTTTATTCAACATTACAACAACATTTTTGACATTTATTTGTCCAACAGCTGGCCGATGCGGCTACCTTATTAAATATACCTTGTTCTGAATGAATAGGGAGATGCAAAAATGCGAGATGCGGATTCGAGTTTTCGAAAATGGTGGTTGAAAAAAAGATTCGTGTTGCCATATCGTAGATTAAGTTGCAATGTGTGTTGCCCCATTGTAATTTAATTGTGTAACATTTTTCAATACATTATTTATTGATTTTTGTTATTAAAAATTGTTACTTTTTATTGTTATTTAAACTATATAGCAATACAAATTTGAAATATCAAGTATCCGCTGTATAAAGGCTTTGTAATTAAAAAAAATAAATTAAAGTTTGAAAATATGGCAACCTACAATATGGACAACAGGTGTTCATTGTTTTGATGCAATTTGTTGCAACAACTACAATAGATTACAAATAAAAGAACAATTTTTTTTATGATGGCAAAAACACATCGAATAATAGGAAGAAATCTGCGATTTAATTAATTAATCCACAGTTTATTATTTCACTACATAATTGTGTGCCCTTTTATTTAATTCCGATGTTTTATCTCCCCAAATTCTTAAAGTGGCCTGTTATGTTATGATTTGCTTTAAAAAAAAATTATTCTTTCATAATTTTTATTTAAGTTTTTCACTGTTAAGTGGCTCATCAGGCAAATTTGGGTTTTCCATAATTTTTAAAATTTTTTTCTTGAGAGACAGCCAAAATGTCGGTATTTTGCCTCCAAAAATCAAACTCGACTTAAATATTCCTTATTACCTTCATACATTTCTTGGCAATACTTGGTTCAGCATGCATCGTTATCAAAAGGATTTCCAATGGCATTTTATTGGTTGTTTTCCAGTTAAAAATTAGCTTACTATCATTTATAATATTCTAAATCGTCATAGAATAAGTATTGTGTTAATATTTTTCATAAAAATATTTATTACTTATGTTTTTGTAGTCAACTCACTTTGAATTTATTAGCGAAAAATTTCGAACAAAATTTCATCTCATTCTCCTACTCCCTGTAATCCAGAATACCTAATTTTTCCCCAAAGCGGCTGATAGTTATTCAGCCTTATTCTGGATGTCAAGTCCACGTGAATTTACTCGCTCTTCCCCTTCGTCTTATTCTGAACAACATTTTTGTGTGAATTTTTTCGCATTCTCGCTTTCGCCTTATTCTGAATGAAGTTCGAAAGCGAAAAAATCCGCTTTGGGGAAAAATTAGGTATTCTGGATTACAGGGAATAGGAGAATGAGATAAAATTTTGTGCGAATTTTTTCGCTAATAAATTCAAAGTGAGTTGACTACAAAAACATAAGTAATAAATATTTTTATGAAAAATATTAACACAATACTTATTCTATGACGATTTAGAATATTATAAATGATAGTAAGAATATATTTATCTGGAAAACCAAATAAAATGCCTTTGGAAATCCTATTGATAATGATGCATGCTGAACCAAATATTGCCAAGGAATGTATAAAGGTAATAATGAATATTTAAGTCGAGTTTGATGCATTATGGAGGCGAAAAACAGACATTTTGGGTGAGGATCTGTATCTCAATAAAAAAAATTATAGAAAAACCAAATTTGCCTAATGAGCCGCTTAACAGTGAAAATCTTAAATAAAAATTATGAAAGAACAAAAAATATTTTTTTTAAATTATCGTAATCATAACATAACAGGCCACTTTAAGAATCTGGGGAAATATATATCGAAATTAAATAAAAAGGCACACAATTATGTAGTGAAATAATAAACTGAATTAATTAATTCAATCGCAGATTTATTTCCATTATTCGTTGTGTTTTGTCATTATAAAAACTGTTCTTTTATTTATAATCTTGTTGTAGTTGTTGCACAAAATTGCATCAAAACAATGAACAGCTATTTCACATGCCATATTGTAGGTTGCCATATTTTTAAACTTTAATTTATTTTCTTTTAATTACAAAGCTATTATACAGCGGATTCTTAATATTTCACATTTATATTGTTATAAAGTGTAAATAACAATAAAAAGTAAACATTTTTAATAAAAAAATAAATAAATAAAATATTGAAAAATATTACACAATTAAATTACAATGGGGCAACACACATTACAACTTAAATTACAATATGGCAACACACATTACAACTTAAATTATAATATGGCAACACGAATCTTTTTTTCAACCACCATTTTCGAAAACTCGAATCCGCATCTCGCATTTTTTGCGTCTCCCTCAAGGTAGATATACAAGGCAGCCGCATCGGCGAATTTCTACAACAAACATCGGTTGTTGTATTTTGATATGTCAAAAATATTTTGCCAAAACAAACAGATTGACAAGATTTTTTTACACAAATTCTTGTAGAAAATGTTAATAGAAGTATTGCCAAAAAAGCTCTTCGAAATTCGGAGATTTTCATTTATAATTTTGTTTTTTTAATTTTTTGGTTCAACATTACAACAACATTTTTGACATTTATTTGTCCAACAGCTGGGCCGATGCGGCTACCTTATTAAATATACCTTGGTCTCCCTATTCATTCAGAATAAGGCGAGAATGTGAAAGCGAAAATTTTTGTATGTGCGAGATATCTCCCAGCGAATATCCAGAATAAGGCTGATTACTTATGTTTTTGTAGTCAACTCCCTTTAAATTTATTAGCGAAAAATTTCCCACAAAATTTCATATCATTCTCCTACTCCCTGTAATTCAGAATACCTAATTTTTCCCCAAAGCGGATTTTTTTCGCTTTCGAACTCATTCAGAATAAGGCGAAAGCGAGAATGCGAAAAAATTCACAGAAAAATGTTGTTCAGAATAAGGCGAAGGAAAAAAGCGAGTAAATTCACATGGAATTGGCATCAAGAATAAGGCTGATAATTATTCTTACCTACAGTATTGGACAAAACATTTGCAACGGAAATTGGCTATGTGGAAATATGTAAAAAATCACTTTATTTGAAGTTGAATAATAGGTCAACCCTTTTTCAAATATTTATGTTCAACTGAAACTGTAATTTTTCACAGAAATTTTTGGTATTTTGCTGTAAAATTTATTGATAAAATAGATTACTCGATATTAGCTGGGTCAAAACATATGCAAATTTGACGAATTTAAAATATACCGTTAATGTAGGTATCATAATTTATATTTTTTTTTTCGCAAAGTTTAAGTATTCTTGAGTGTTAAGAGGTAGTTTTTAATAAATATTAAAAAAAAATGTGCTGCATTTCGAGTTTGCTCGAATGTGAAACATTTTCCCAAATTTGGTGTGCCCCATTCCGAATTCCCAGAAAAATATTGGGAATATACGCCCATGTGCTGCATTTCGAGTTTGCTCGAATGTGAAACATTTTCCCAAATTTGGTGTGCCGCATTCCGAATTCCCAGAAAAATATTGGGAATATAATTCGAGCACATATAGCCTTGTGGATTGAAAACGAAATGAGATCGTACATGTTTTTCTGAGCACGTACAAGTTGAAAAATAACGCTGAAGTAATATTTAACGTGTTTTTACAATATTTATTTAAAAATGCAGTATTTATATTAGTTTTTAAAGTAAAATTAAAGAAAATAAAAAAGGGCTCCTCCTGGTCTGCAGCTGTCCACAGCTTGCACACACTTTGTCTTCCAGGACTTTCATTACTCTCCACAACATTTTACACATTGTTGTGCGATCAACACTTATTTTTAAATCATTTGCCACTACACTCTGAAATCCACCAACAGCCAGGAATCTCAAGGTAGCTGCTAACTGCAGGCTTTCGGGAATGGTACCCTTGTGTATGAAAGGGCCAACTTCTCTCAAAATATCCATAAATGCTTATTTTAACACGTTCTAGTATCATTAGACTTTTTCTGGTAGAAACTAGGGCAATTAATAAGCCAGCAGGCATATATTTTCTTAATTTTGTTGTTAAACAAATTGCAAATTCCAATGAAACATATGTTTTTTTATTGAACACAGCTATGCCTTCGAGCCGCACTTTCGCTCGAAACTGAGCACACCATTTTGCACAACATGGGAATTTAAAAAAGTATGGGAATTCAAAAACTCTCGGAACATGTCACATGGGCGATTATGTCGTTATTGAATACAAATTTCTTGTAACATATATAAATACCAATTTCCAAAATAATATCCTTACATCAACTCCTACGCTAAGTACCAATTTTACTATGTTTAACATCAAAAAACGCATACTTATCTTGTACCCATGGTACAATAATACAAGTTAGGGCAGCTTGAGGTGAATAACAAAAAAGAAACTATGCACGTGTGCCCTCTTCTGCCAAAAATAAAATAAGAATATGCGCAACAAGTGTATGTGTTTATTTGACATTTTTCAACACAAAACTAAAAACGCGAAAAATTAATGAAAGGTTATGCTTTCTTCCCAAAATCCATAACAAAATAAATACTTCCAGACAAACGTGTTAAAAACCTTACATCCAAAAATAAAATGTGAAAATAATCAATAAATACAATATGATTTATTTATTTTTTAATTAACTTTATTATTACAATTACATACGTTGAGTTTATACTTTTCAAATATCCTGTAGTAGGAGGGCATCATCGCCAGTTTCTGCAATCGTTATTGGGCATTTGATTGCTCATGTTTTGTTGCTGTAGTTATGGTAATCCTCAAAGACGTTTGATAAAGGCCGCGTACACCTCCCAAACTTTTCTATAAAATTATATTTTAAACGGCTGAAGGAGTCGCGGGAAATTGTACTCTAAATTTGATTGAAAAAGGTGGAATTGGAATAAACATGGGAGTAATATATACATACATATATATTTATGTATATATGAACTGTATAGATGACCGAGTTAGTCCCTTGATGAGGAGCTCCACAACAATACGTTCTCAGATGGACAACAAAAACGTTTATAAGAAATAGTTTAAAGTATTTTATTAGTTAATAAAAATAAACCAAGATGATTTTAAGCAACGATGAACCTTTTCATTCGCTATGTTAAAACGAGAGTATCTTTACTGCCCGTGTTCTATTTTCAAACTTATGTTTTACTTAAAATTGTAATCAAGGATAGAATCGGAGTGATATTTCACTTTTTAGCAGCAAGAAATTAAAATCATATTTAGTAACATCAGTGACATACATACATACGAGGTTCGTAATATTCATTTTGCAAATATGTATAGAAATAAATAATTAAGCAGCAGATGTGTAATCCCAGCCACATTATTTCATAATTTAAAGCAATAAATAGTATTTTTTATTGGAAACAACTTGGACCGACAACAACAAAGAGAAGCTTTCGTACTACGGTTACTAAATCTTGCTTCGTATATATGTGGGGTAGTGTTCTGCCATATTTTATTTTATAGAGCTGGCGATATTTAAAGTGTTCTTGCTTTTCGCTTCGTGAATGGTTTTGTTGTTTATTGACGTCATAGTTGTTGTAAATGCTGCTGCTGTTGTTGCAACTAAAAACAGCTGCCTTCTGGTGGTTGCGCCAATTTGAGGTTTTCTTTGCAAGTCATAATTCGACGTATTTCTTGCAATAACGACTTAATAGTATATTCACGATTCCATCGTGAAAGCATGGGCACTAGTCTCGGATCAACCTATTAAGGCGTGGAAAGTCGTTGAACAAAAGTTAATTTAAAATAACAATATTGTAATTTAACTCACCACTCCATTTTGGGTAATGCAATTTATATTGATTTTAGTTAAAAATTTTATCGTAGGAGGTTCATCGGGATAACGTTCGCCACAATCAATCTTTAATGAGTACATTCGATTTTCATACGGTGTCTGGAAATCATTAAAAAATTTTCACAAATGTTCCGAAATGTATATTCCAGCTTATTTTATTGGGGAAATTTTACTTACACGAGGAGGGCCAATAATCATTCCAATCCAGTACGTAAGAGTCATATCATCGTCATTTTCAAGGCCCCATGAAATAGTGCCGTCGCCAACACCTTTTTGACCTTGGTCCAACTCTTCAAGTAGACGGAAATTTCTTGGAACCACTGCAAATAATGACATTTATTAGAACGCAATGCATAACACGTTACCCATGTGTGAAATGCGTTCATTGGCGCAGATATTAACCCATTTAGTAGGTAATATTTCATTACAAAAAAATGTTGTAGATTATTGTAAATTTCTCGCGAAGAGAAATTTATGAACAAATCTTCGAACATTATGTATGTTCGGTATTTTGTGAGAAAAATTTTTCTTCAACTGTTTTGTCGTTGAAGTGCATAGGAAAATTCGATTTTTTTGCAAAAACAGGTCGCTACAACCGATATGTCGATTTCGACTGTATTCTATACATGGACATGGATAATTTTAATGTATTAGAAACTCTTCCCATGGACATATAACATGACTAGGTCTAGCTAGCCACACTAGATGTCACAATGCCACCAACCTCAATCGCATTTGGTGAAAAATAACATTTTTTTTTTTTTTTTTTGTAAAAAATCAATAACTACAACCGAAGTAGAAATTTGGCACAGAATCACTGATGCATCAATAACAATTGCTGAAGATATGTTCGGTGCAACCAACTATTCTCCTATCTCCAGCATTTTTTCCGCTACTGAGTCATCACAATATATTGCATAAACGAAGACACTGCAAACGATTGAAACACACACTGACTATATTGTATAAAAACAAATTACTAATTAAGAAATACTGTTGCATTATTCCAAATTAATATGTTGATAATTGTGCTTCAACTTGTATGCATGTTAGGTGCCTATTATAAATATCCGCTAATTCAATTAACCATTGACCAACTATTACATACACAGGGGTAGTACCTTTTCTTACGGGTTTATAATATTCGTATTATGTCTGATACTTTGGGACATTTGAAATTGCACTTACATTTCAATTCAGATATTTTCAATAAATCCATACTTGGACGGGTTCATTTGTTCTTTCGCAGGGCACAGGCGCACATCTAACCCATGTATGGACTGTGGGTGGGAGGGGTTCGTAGCTGTCTTCTTCAAAATTATTATTTTATTTAACCATACTTTTCTACTTCTCAAACCGCACTAGTAGTTAAATTTGTATCTTTAAATGCAAAATTAAACATTCTCATCGCCGCTAAACTCCGGTGAAAACATTAAAAAAATTTCACGCCTTAGCATTGTCGAAGAGAATTTTCGAGCACACGGAGAAAAATCCAAATTGGAAAATTACTTGATTAGCTTCTGTTGGAATCACGGTCGGAATGTTCTAAATATGTAGCACACATGGAAGCAATTATGTTCTCAAGGAAATCTATTGGAAATAAATAATAATTTCATACCTACACCGGATTGATTCGCCATTTTCACTATTCTTTTTTGATCAGCACACACATTTGCACACACATACCAATAAAAGTTAAACTTTGATTCCCTGCCTCACAAAAAATGTTGAAGAATTTTTTAATTCTAGCCAATTAGACATTTTAGGTTTGCAGCTTCAGAGAAAATCTCAGCATAGTAATGTTCCTCAAAATAATGCACAAATATTAATTTCTTACCTACACCGGATTGATTCGCCATTTTCACTCTTCTTTTTCAATCTACTCTACGCACATTCACACAAGGGCTACGTCAGTCGACTTTCTGCAAATCGAAAGAATAAGTGAAAAAACGGTGTTCAAAAATAGGAATACGGTTCAAAGCGGAACAAGCTAATGCTGTCAAAATACATTATTGTGAATCACAATTATCGTGACAGTCGGTTATAGAATCCAAGTAACGTAATTTCTACTTGAATTCGATGTGCAATATTGTCAACCATGTGAAATATTATATAAAAAAATTTTGACAGATGTTTTTGTTTTCATACAAGATAACGAAAACGTTCCGCTTTTGCCAAGGTAGATATACAAGGTAGCCGCATCGTCGAATTTCTACAACAAACATCGGTTGTTGTATTTTTATATGTCAAAAATATTTTACAAAAACAAAGAGATTCACAGGATTTTTTTAAACAAATTATTGTAGAAAATTTTAATAAAAGTATTGCCAAAAAAGTTCTTCGAAGTTCGGAGATTTTCATTTATAATTTTGTTTTTTAATTTTTTGCTTCAGCATTACAACAACATTTTTGACATTTATTTGCACTAACAGCTGGCCCGATGCGGCCAGCTGTTACAGCCTGTTTTTGTAAAATTCCAAACGAACGAATTCGAGTGATTTACGACCAAACCTTTATTTATGTTTATAAAGGTTTTCTGATTCAAAACAAAAATAAATGACATATTTTTCAAAACCAATGAGTTTGGTCGTAAGTCACTCGAATTCTTTCGTTTGGAATTTTACAAAAACAGGCTGCAAATAAATGTCAAAAATGTTGTTGTAATGCTGAAGCAAAAAATTAAAAAACAAAATTTTAAATGAAAATCTCCGAACTTCGAAACATTAGAAACATTTTACGACCAAATTGGCTGTAATATGACACAGAGTGTTCTCTTTGGGTACCAATGGGGTTCTGTTTTGGGTGTTCTCTTTGGGTACCACCTATGTCGAGTGGTTCGGCGCTTATTGAGTTTATACCCAATTTTTGATAAATGCTTTGTATGGGGGCTACCAGTAAACGTGCACCTACATACATAAATTATTGCACGGACATTTGGTACCCAAAGAGAACAAACACTCCGTACCAAATTATAGCCAATTTGGTCGTAACTAGACACCTTAAATCAAAAAATTCCTTAAATCGGAAAATACGGCTACATGGGACCCAAGGACCCCATTTTCAATTTCAATGTTTGCTTTGATATAAAAACCATCTTAGCCAAATTTTGGCCGCCTATGTCAAGTGGTTCGGCAGTTAATGAGTTTATACCCAATTTTTGGGTAAATACTCAAAATAGGGTTCCTTTCTATGAGGGCTACCAGTAAACGTGGACCTACATACATACATTTTTGCATGGACATTTAATACCCAAAGAGAACACTCTGTGCCCAATTGCAGCCAATTTGGTCGTTAAATGTGTGTAATAGACAAAAAATACCTTTAATCGGTAGATACGGTTATATGGGGACTATATCAAAACTTGGACCCAGGGACCCCATTTTAAATTTCAATGTTTGCTTTGATAAAAAATCCATCTGAGCCAAATTTTGGCCGCCTATGTCAAGTGGCTCGGCAGTTAATAAGTTTATACCCAATTTTTGGAAAATACTCAAAATAGGGTACCTTTGTGTGGGGACTACCAGTAAACGTGGACCTACATACATAAATTTTTGCACGGACATTTGGTATCCAAAGAGAACACTCGGTGCCAAATTACAGCCAATGTGTCTAATAGACAAAAAATACCTTAAATCGTGAGATACGGTTATATGGGGACTATGTCAAAACGTTGACCCAGGGAACCCATTTTGCATTTCAATATTTGCTTTGACATTAAAATCATGTAAGCAAAATTTTGGCCACCTATGTCGAGTGGTTCGGCAGTTAATGAGTATTTACCCAATTTTTGGGTAAATACTCGGGTATTTACACACGTTTCTAAAGTATCGTAAAACTATCCATTCTAAATCGATTTGATAACAGAAACCCGGAATTAGGGTGTAAAATGTTGTTTACCGATTCAATATAGTAAATACCCAAAATTGGGTATTTACCCAATTTTCAGGTATTTACCCAATTTACAGGGTAATTACCCTTTGTGTATTTACCCACTGCCCATCTCTATCAATTTCAAATTAAAAGGGTTGCCATTATCAATTTCTCAAATGCGACTACCTTGCATAATTATGCCATGTTAGGAAACTCTACTCTGATATCGTTAAAATCTCTATGAGAGGAAACATAGTCACTAATGTGAGTACTCCTACTCAAGAAGTCACAACCTGTGTCGTGTTGAGGATACTAGTGTGACTAAAGTTCAGCGACTTCCAGGCATCCGTTTCTCGGAGCCTAGCAACCTGGAATTTAATCAAAGAATGGGGAGTACGACCGTCACATACAGCCAATGTATGATCTCTTGTCTTAGTCCCCAACTTCTACCTATGGAGTTCTTGCAGGAATAGAGTGATATTAATCCTTCCTTAGAGCGTTCCACAACATTCCTATTCCACCTTGATTTGTGGTCAAGGATTGTACAAAGAAAACGTTAAAACCATGGTATATTTATTGAACGTAGGTCATAGCAACATACAAATTTTTCATTTTGTGTCTTGCTATGCCAAAGTCGTGAATTTACTTCTATTATGAAAACGCAAACAAAGTCAAAATGTTTGGTATTAAACTGGAGAAAACAGCTGTATTTGGCCTTCTGCTATCCTTATTAATAGATCATACTCAAGTCTAATGCAATTTTTTTTTTTTTTTTTGATATGCGGCAGTTCATTGAAAAAATATGAAAATGTATCAAAGGCGAGAAATTTTTTAGAAAAAAATTAAAAACATGAATGAAAAGGAATTAGCTATAAGTCCTATAAAACAAGAAACAAAATCTATGCAAGAATAAACTCTGACGACATGAATTAAGAATTGTGTCGTATGAACGGGTTAATTAATAATAACATTTTGATATGTCAAAAATATTTTGCCACAAATTCTTGTAGAAACTGTTAATAAAAGTATTGCCAAAAAAGCTCTTCGAAATTCGGAGATTTTCATTTATAATTTTGTTATTTAATTTTTTGGTTCAACATTACAACAACATTTTTGACATTATTTGCACCAACAGCTGGGCCGACGCGGCTACCTTATTAAATATACCTTGGATGATATGCTGGCGAGCAAGGCCTATTAATAAGGTCGTCCGCAAGATCTACTAATTAGGTCACCCAGCTAGCGAAGTCAGCTGTTTTTTTTTCAAATCTAATGTCAAAAATTTGGCTTTTGTTTACGTTTTCATGATGGAAGTCAATTCACAATAATGGATTTTGACAGCAAACTTGAGAGGCAGCTGATAGCTGGCCTCCCATTATGAAAACGTAAACAAAAGCCAAATTTTTGACATTAGATTTGAAAAAAAACAGCTGACTTCGCTAGCTGAAAACAGCTGAAAACGTAAACAAAAGCCAAATTTTTGACATTAGATTTGAAAAAAAACAGCTGACTTCGCTAGCTGGGTGATCTAATTAGTAGATCTTGCGGACGACCTTATTATTAGGCCTTGCTCGCCAGCATATCATCCAAGGTATATTTAATAAGGTAGCCGCGTCGGCCCAGCTGTTGGTGCAAATAATGTCAAAAATGTTGTTGTAATGTTGAACCAAAAAATTAAATAACAAAATTATAAATGAAAATCTCCGAATTTCGAAGAGCTTTTTTGGCAATACTTTTATTAACAGTTTCTACAAGAATTTGTGGCAAAATATTTTTGACATATCAAAATACAACAACCGATGTTTGTTGTAGAAATTCGCCGATGCGGCTACCTTGTATATCTACCTTGATACCATCGATACACGAAGCAAAGGGCCATTGGAGTAAAGAAGAGTCGTTTTTTTAATGAATGGGATATGACTGTCATTAAGTCGTATGATTTTTGCTAAGCCTTTTGTGGTGGTGTGTTGTGTTTTGCTATTGAATTATTATCGTCTTGGGTCACAATAATATTTTTTTGGGATAGGAAAACTATTTACATAACCGCCCTTCCATACAATTTGGGAGAGAACATAAGTCAATGCATTGCCACCTAATGGTATATATGCGTATTATTATCACTACCTTGATAATAATAACATGTCTATTGGGTGACAATTTTGTTGAGCTAACGCAGCATCCGTTACTTAAAGCTTTGGCCGACAATGCTACCCATGCTGTTATCGGCGCATTGTCTGGCATTGCGTTTGCTGTCCAGTTTTATGAAAAAACGACCCATTTTTTTGGTTGGTTCCTGATTTTTGCTTGCTTTGTCTGTTCTTCGCTTATTGATTTAGACCATTTCATTGCAGCCAGAAGTTGGAATTTGGAGGTACGTTCACTTAAGAAATTATTAGGAATTAATCGTGTAATTTTGTTTAATCGTAGGATGCTACAAATCTTTCACGCCGTCCATTCCTCCATTGTTCCACCATTATTGTTCTCCTAATGTTGGCGTATCTTTGTACTTCTTGCCTTAATTATTTCAAGTGGAGCCTTTCCTTGGGTATTCTGCTGTGCGCATTTATAACTCATCATACACGTGATGCAATACGACGTGGGTACTGGTTTTATCCATGGGGACATACTGATAAATTACCACACCTGGCTTATATTATAATAACTGTATTGACGCCATATGGTGTGAGCAGTTTATATGGCATATGTCGCAGTACATCGGTACAACAATTCCTAGGCCAATATGTAAAACTGAATGAAGGATCACATCATAAAGATGAGAGAGGTTATCGTTATATGCAGGTATAATTCTACTCCAAAAATATTTTCATGTTAAAGGTCATATAATGGCTATTTTAACAATGGATATGTATGTGATTTAATTTATTTTTTTAATTTAATTTATCTTTATTTACTTTGTAATTGAAGCCAAATTACAATTTAATGGCCAATTTATGTATAATTACAAAGAATCCACCTTATATCATAGCTACTCTAAAACAAATTCTTATAAATATAACATGTTTAAATCTGCATTACATCATGACTACTCAAATATATCCACTTTTAAACAAGTTATTATAAATAAATGATGTTAACGCTAATAAAACATTATGAATGTAATTATGCAGATGCATTTTAAAAAACTTCGTGACATCATGGCTACTCAAACGTACGTAGTATACACTTAAGACTTTTATTAATAACTAATACACTCCACATGTGACACTAGCTTTAATATATAATAGTTATTAGTATGTTGCCTACAGTTATTTTGCTTTGAATCTGTCGGAACGAGCCGGCTAATGGACAAAGATGGCCATTCCTGCAATCACGCAGTTAGTTACAATAATTAAAAATTATATTTGAATCTTGCTAGGTAATAGGTATAGAAAATAAATTTGGAACATTGTGATATAAAAAAACATTAATAAAACGCTCGTATTTTATTCGCCTAAAATGTAAGAACTATAGCGAACCAGAGGAAATAAACAAGAAAGCTTAACTTTTAAATTAAGTCTTTTTATTAAATAAAATTTCTTAAAAATTAATTATTTGCACTTAATTTTTGTTCACCGCTAACACCAAAGAATATTAATTACTTGAACTATTCTATTATATGGACATTTAGTTGGGTCACAACTGGGCTGAACGCTGTTCAGAAAAGGGATCATAAGAAAAATGTATGCAACGCGTTGCATATTTACTAATATGTATATTAAAAGTAATTACAAACAATGCATAGCCTACTGATGATGCTAATGCTTTTGTACCAGTTTATTGGGATTTGTGTTCTACAAATTCTAACTGTAGGACAAACACATTATTATTTAGTTATACAGATTACTTGCTGTTTCCGATTCATATGAGTCACCCTGGTTTTCAAATTCAGCCAAGTTAGGGTATTTTACAACCATGTCTTCTTCACCTCTGAATTCATTCCGATTGAATTTGTTTTCCTCGCCATCACGCAACCGTTGATAAATAATAATGTTTTTACCAGTTCTTGAGTTGATGTACTGTAATAGAGAGTCTGCATTTAATCGCTTTTCTTTAACCAGGACGGACCAATGATTTAGGAGGATTTGGGGGTCAACATTGTTTACCTCCGCATTGGGTACCCTTTCCAACATCTTGTAGTCAGCAAGGAATTCGTTTATTGTATTTGCTAATGGCTCATATAGTACAACATGTGTCGGCTTTGCGGAGCGCGGATACGAAGGAATATGTGAACGCAACCAATGAACCGGGGACTCGAAGAAGAGCTCAGCTTCGTCCTTGTAATTGGAAATCTCTTTCAAATTTGGTTCACATGTTAAAAATCTCATCGTGACATTTTGGTGTATGTGGCTATATGAGAAAAAACGACTTGTTTATAAAATTATATTCAAAGATTTTCGGTACTGCATCTTACCTGTAGTAGGGCGTCGAATGGCAGGGCATTAAGAAGAGTACATTAGCTGGACGGGGTTGTTCGGATTTATATGAAGACAGAATATTACCCAGTTTTGACATAACTTCAATTGGTCCTTTTTGATGGATCGTACTTAAGTACCAAGCTGGGACGGCATTTCCAACAATTATAAGAATGGCCACAATCCACAAAGATAGCCTATAAACACACGTTACATGTAAACGTTCACAAACTGAGATTATCATATCGAACATACCTTGAAGCCTTGTAACTCCATCTGGTTAATGTGTCGGAAGCAATGTACAGACACAATGGCAATAAAACACATACAAATCGGAACTCCTTATGCTCCACTGCACTTAATACTATTAAAGATAGTAACACAGTCAACAGTAAGTATTTGCGTGTGGGATATGCATTGCTGTGACGAATTGTTTCGATTGCGCCAAATAGAAATGGTAAGAAATTTATGCCCAACACTGTGGGCAAGCCAACTGTAAAGTACCAATACCTAAATGAAATAAATTACAATACTTATATTATGTTTTTTTTACTATTGATGTTTAGTACAGAGCATATGGCTCTTTATGTCAGATCGCAAATATATGTCTTTATCGAACAGTAGTGCGGCTTTGTACAATTAATGAACATATCGCTCATTTGCTGCAAGACAGGCATAACTCACACTTATATATGGACAGGGGAACTCCTACAGCTTCTCAATTTGAGTGTGTAAGATATATTCATATGAATTTTTTACACAACATGAGGTCTATTATAGCGAACAATCGTGCATTATTAACTCGAAAATCACGTTTTTTTTATATATGCCTCTCTTGCAGCAAATTAGCGTTATATACTGATTTTTTAACGAACTATTTATTCGGTGTCAACTTTCAGTATTCATTTAGTTTGTAGCGAACTCGAATTGTTTGAAATAAATAATTATACATAATACTTAACAATAACTATTTCTGCGTACTTTTCCAGTAATAATTACTCAGTAAAAGTCATGGTATAATAATAAAAGGTAACAGCAAGTGTTGTTGTACAACAAACGATACAACAACCACATAGAAATTTGTTGCTGTAAGTTCTACTAGTGTCAACTCTTTTGACAGAAAAATGTAAACAAACAAACAAATTATCATCAAGTTATTTTTATTTTGAAAATGAATTATTTTTGAATCCACAAAATAAAAATTGAAAAACATGAATGAAAATCTATCAAATTTATATTTCTATCGCTTCCACATCTTTCCTATAATTGTGTAACACATATGAAAATACAGGGAATAGCGAGTTGTTCCCAGCAGGCAGATTGAGTAAGTTGAATACGGGAGCACATTTAATAAAGAACAATTTCGAATTGAATAAGTTCCCAATTTTCCTGTTGGGTGATTGTTAAAAACATAATTTGTCAAATGCATATTGACACTAGTATTACGTTGGAATCAAATCAGCTGGGATTTGCTGTTACCTTTTATAATTGTACCATGAGTAAAAGTAAACAGACATTTTGTAGAAAATTTCAATCAATTTTGTTGAAAAATACATGAGTTGACAATCATGTTCATTGTGTTTTGCTTGTGCAAAACTTTACTGAGTAAATTTTCCCACTAAGATTTTTCAATACTCAGTAAAACAAAATTCAAAATAGCTCTCTCAATTCACACTCTTTTACTGAAGTTTTGTGTAAAAAGACATTTTGTAACAATTGTTAAAATTAAAAGGAACAAGGAATATATTTTTCTGCTAAGTCTGGATTACCTTGGATATAACGAACTATTTTGTTTGGTTCCTACTAATCGCTATAACAGTACTTCACTGTAGTCGCCAGGACTAATCGATAAAATCGTTGATTTTTACACCGATATGATTCAATCAGCTTTAGCTTTAGGCAGTGAAGTTTCTTAACCTAAATGTATATTTATAACTTACCAAGGGTGGTAGCCATAGAAACTTCCAATGTTTTGAATAACATTGTACTTAAGAAATTCATATGGAGTGATTAGGAATCGTCCATGCATATAGGAATCGATAGCCACGGAAATTGTCGCAACAAGTAATCTGAAATAACTTACGGTAAAGTTATTTGATTAATATAGTAAATAAAGTACCTTACCCAATAAATATAAATCGCTTAAATACCAATTCAGTCCATCTTAACTTAGATTTATGAAGGTGATAGAAAACTAAAGGTAGCCAAATGATAATGGCCGTTGGTCGAAGGAAGCAGCAGAAAGCTGCAGGCCACAAATAACCTATGCCCTCGCCGTTCCACGGAAAATAACTCAAAGCAATAGTTGTCAATGACGTCTCCAACGTATTGCTTAAAGTCCTAGATCCTGTATAAAACCAGAACCAAGAAACTGCGATGAGGAATAACCCCCATTTCTTTTTGCCCGTCCATATGAAGAATCGGTAATCGGAATATGCAGATAATGTTGCTTGTAACAATCTTGGCAGCACAACAAGCCATTTTACAGTGTCCAGACTGAGGAGAGCCAAAATTTTATAAATTCCGGCTATAACCACGGGATATATATAACTACGAATTCCTTGCACCCACTCCCATGTCAAATAACCATAGCTAGAAAATATTATAGAATATTATTAATGTATTACAAGGAGGTAATGAACTCGAACTTACCCGAACGTAATTTTGTGTGCAACCTCTAAACTTTGCCAATATTCATCCGGAACATAAAAGGTCTTTACTACAAAAACTGAGGCAGTGCGCACAGCTAAGCAAAATAAGAACACGAGTATCAAATTCATCGCAATATGCCCTCCTTTTCAGTTAGGAAAACGCGAAGTCCAAAACATAAGATTGAATTGGGGTACAGTATGGAGGGCTGGCTGCTAAATTTCAAACTTGACTCTCAAATGTCAAGTGTTTCTTTCTTACAATATCCAAATACTCTTAAATGCCACGTAAAATGTAAAAACCGAAATCAAACTCTTTCTGTGCGCACTAATTTAAATAATAAAGGCTAATGCTAAAAATAAAAATATACGTAAAAATAAATTCTTGATTTTGTTTTTGTTGTTAAATATTTATGTATATGACGTCATCAGTGACGCGACCAACGCAACAATAAATGGCAATGCTCTTTGTTGTCATGACTTTTCGTTTGAAACACAGGCGACAGAGCAACACATCACGCCGCGTCAATGCATTACAGCTATATTTAAATCAAATATGTTGATTCGCATTGTAGAACTCGTTGTGAATAGTTGTGTGTCGTCGCGTTGCGTAGCATTTTTGTGAGACTGAATAAAGAAAGAGGAAAATAGAAAACGTTAACGGTTTAGAGTGAACAATTTTTCGTGTGCCTTTCTGATAATAAGACTTGTGTTTTCATTAAACATAAAATTAAATTGAAAAGCATTGGATTCTTTTAATAAACATAAAAACAATTTTGCTGAATTGAAATAAGTGATTTTTGTGTTTTATGAATGTGCTTGCGAGCACCCGGCGGGGCTTTGAGCTGCATATTCCCGCGTATGAATTGCCCAAACACTGTGTTGCGTTACATACAACATCATAAAACCATCTTCCTAATCATCGCCAAACAATCGTCATCGTGTAACCGTCATCATTAACTCATTCATAAACTCCATCATCATCAACATATAACCTGCAAATTCCTGTTCATTCATTTTTCTGATTGCCGTATACATAACCATCATAACCATAGTCATCATCATAAATTTCATTAATAACAGATCATAACCTGCAAATTCCTGTTCATTCATTTTCCTGAGTGCTGTACTTTTGTTGTTTTTAAAAAAAAAAAGTTCTAGAACTTCCAAGCGTCCGAGGATAACGGTTTTTGACGATCATACGGTCGTCTCTTTCTAATTGCTGTAGCTCATTTTGTTGTGTGTGTGGTGGTAGCGTCGTTGTGCTGTTGTTGCTGTGAAGAGAGTGTGTGAGAATGGAGGAGGGAATAAATATTCCCCCTCCGCCAAGCAAGCCTGAGTTGAGGCAGGGGAGCAGAAATAGAGAAAGAAGTAGGAGTAATAGTAGAAATTGTAATGCCAAAAAGTTGCGCCCTGATGAGTCTCTCTCATCTAATGAAAATGAAAGTCTTATGGCAACCCAAGGAACATCAAGTTTTAATGCAGTGGCGTCGGTCCAAGTAGTTCCGGCAAGTCAACCAGCAATGAGTCAAATTAAGAATAATTATAGTTTTAGATATGAACGTGACCATACGGGTCCATACTTAGTCTATGTTGATCGTGTTGATGCCGCTGGTCGGTCAGCCTCTATAAACACTATATCCCTAGCGAAAATAATGAAGGATCTTGGAATTCCCGGCATTTTGGAAGTTGCCAAGATTGGTTTCGGCAGGGCAAAAGTAACTTGCAGGAATGGTTTTGAAGCAAATATATTGGCGTCTAACCAAGCTCTAAAGAATGAGGGCTATATCTGCAAAATCTTTGCGCATTTTGTTTCTAAGGCTGGAGTAATTTTTGGGGTGCCTACTGATCTTTCGCAGGACGAGTTAGCCAAGGCAATATCCTCTGAAAAGGAAATATTAAGTATAACTAGAATGAATCGGAAGGAGAAGGGTCAGCTTGTGCCTACCCCGAGGGTAAAGATAGTTTTTAAAGGTCTGGAGCTTCCGAAAACGGTTCGTTTTTTCGAATATACTAAGAGGGATGTCAAGCATTTCATCTCCTTTAGTACGTGCTACAAGTGTTACCGGCATAATCATTTTGCGGAGCACTGCAAGCAAAAAGTTATGTCATGCAGGAAATGTTTCACCGTTCATAATGAAGCAGAAAAATGTGCAGAAGGAATCGTGTGCCCCAACTGCAAGGGTAATCACACACCATTGGATAGAAAATGCCCTGCTCGGGAAGAAGCATACCAAGTTAAGAAGATCATGACAATTAAGAATTTAGCACTGGGAGAGGCACGAATCAAATACAAACAAGCCTTCGGAAACAAGTTTCAAATTTTGGACGAAAATTTGGATGTGGCTTTCCCCCCTTTAAGAAGCAAATATGACAAGTCAAGGAACAATGCGGACGAAAAAGAAACCCTTAGTAACGCAATGGAGGCTGCTAGATCATTGCATAGCTTTAGATCCTTTGCGAAGGTAGTCAAGAACAACCAGAATCGATTAAGAGAGGAGGCCAACGCGGTAAAGAACATGAAGGAGTACAGGGAAGCTTTGAGGTCTGGTGAGGTCTACCAGTCAGGAAACGGGGTCGCCTTAAACAGCATGCATAAAGTAACCGAATTAGAAAAATTTTTGTCGGAAATGGAGAAAGAGGTCAGTGCGGTGGCGGAGTCGGGAGAGAAATCCCTGACTAACAGTCAAGCGAGAGTCCTGAATGCAATCAAAGAGAAACTTGTCAGGCAGATTATTGATGTGCAGTCATTCATTATAAGTTCCAGTATACAAGACAATGAAGATGCTGTTGGAGTAAGTTACTGATTTTTTATATCCAAATCCACATCCATCATGAAATTATTACAATATAATATTCAGAGTATCAGCAAGCGCGAAAATAAGGACATGTTGGAACCTTTTCTAGAGTATGAAAACATTGACATTGCTGCAATATCTGAAACCTGGGTTAAAGATAATTCCAATGCCAGTTTTGGAAACTATAATTTTGTCAGTAAAGCTAGATCTGACGGGTATGGAGGAGTAGGTATCCTACTGAAAAGAGAAATTAAGTTTGCTTTAATAAACATCAACACAGAATTTGAAATTGTGGGCATTAGCACAACTAATCTTAAAAGTAATATGAATATACTATCGGTTTACATTCCACCTAACCTGCACCGAGACCAATATCGGCAGATAGCTAAGATTGTTTTCGAGTCTGCTTCGAGACTTAGTGGAGTCACTATCATAATGGGCGATTTTAATGCGAAAGCAACATCATGGGGCAATTCGGCAACGGACATTCAAGGTAATATCGTGCTTACCCTGGCAAATGAGTATGATTTTAGCTGCCTAAACAACGGAGACCCTATTTTTTCTACCAACACCAGTCAATCTGCTATAGACCTCACTTTTATTAATACTACAAGTCTTCAAGTCAGTTGGACTACGAGCAACACGAAAATTTCAAAAAGTAATCATCATCCAATTGTTATCTCTTTTATCAATGATTCAAACAAACCCAGACAAGTATACAGAGTTCGAACAGCAAATGTCCTTTGCCAAATGAATAAAATGATGGTGGGAAATAATTTAGAAGAATTCTACGACAATGTTAATAATATTATTTCAAGTAACAAAATTCGCCTGGATCCCAGAAACAAGTATGTCCCCAAGCCTTGGTGGGATGATGATATTAAGTCAATGTATAATCTACGGACACAAGCAAGAAGGAAGTACGAAAAGACAAAGGCGTGGTCTGATGCTCTGGAACTTGCCGATATTGAACGACGGCTTTTTCGAATGTGCGAAAAAAAGAAGAGGAGAAACTTCAGGAAATTTCTCAGCCATTTGAACAATCCAATTTCAAGTAAGGATATGTGGTCTAAACTTAGGAATGTTAAGAAGTACGGGAAAGTCAAGCCGATTAATAGTTCATGGAATCATGAACAAAATGAAGAATTCCTTGATTTTATAACATGGCAGTCCATTTCTGGTTGTAACGACGCACCCATAGTCTTCGGGAACTTGATAAGCCAAAGGCCTACCTTGGACATTAAGTGCTTTGAAGCCTTTCTCGACTCTAGAAGCCCTACGTCAGCAGCAGGACCAGATGGTGTATCGTATAAAATGATAAACAGTCTTAACGCAACCGAAAGGCAGAAATTTTTTAATATTCTGGTTGAAATATGGAACAAAGGTAGCTTCCCGAGCGAATGGAGGAGAATTAGGATTTCTCCGATCACTAAGAGGGGCAAAGATCCTGGAAACATTCAAAATTATCGCCCAATTGCACTTATGTGTGCATCACAAAAGATTTTGGAGAGCGCTATCAAGAGTATGATTCTTCGTTTTACTGAAGATAATGGGATAGTTCCCCCTAGGTCATATGCGTTTAGACCGGGTAGATCCACGTCCATGTGCATCAATGATGTGATCAACACCATTGAATTCTATAAAAAGTCTGGCAATCAAGTGGTTGGAGTGTGTATTGACATCGAGAAGGCGTATGATTATACGAACATAAATCAATTGGCGGTAGTAATGTTTCGGAAAGGGTATAATCCACACATAATCAAATGGATTGTGGACAGTATGAAACGCAGGCAATTGGAGTTGGGTAAGAGTAGAAGAATTGTAGTGAATGGTCTTCCTCAAAGAAGTGGTCTCAGCCCGTTGCTCTTTAATATCTACACGTCTTCCTTGCATGACATCAATTCCAGTAACATCGACATCTTTCAGTTTGCGGATGATTTTTTCCTGGTTTGCCACGACAAAAGCTTCCAAAAGGCAAGTGAAATTCTGACTGAAAGTATTAGCCGCTTCCACGAGGACTGTAAGGGGCTAGGTCTGGGTTTTAATATGAACAAAATTAACACTGTTCACTTTTCAAGAAGGCCTAAACAAATGAATATATGCATTAATGGTATTTCAGTCAAACAGGTGGCAAACATCAAATATCTGGGTCTCGTCATTTCTGCTGGCGGCTCTTCTAAGATACACATCGACGAAGCTACTTCATCGACAGATAAAGTTAATAACTTCCTTCACATTTTAAGTGGTTGCAGCTTTGGAATTTCCCCAGCCAAAGCAATGCATTTCTACAAGGCGTTTGCCAGAGCAAAACTGGAGTATGGAGCATCTGCATTAT